TATAGCAAAATAGAAAAGAAAACTCACCATGCAAAGCTATGCAAGATGCGAACGAATAAAATCTCGTCCATAGTTGATTTAACAAAATGGCTTCGATACGAAAACATTACCCCGCAAGATGAGACACGATACCGTTATCTCCAAGATAGAAATATGTTTAGAGCTGAGAAAGGTATTTGCCAACACTGTAGGGAATGTGTGAAGACGGTGGATCATCTAGCAACACAGTGCGAAAAAATTTTATATCATGACTATACTAGACGGCACAATGAAGTCCTACGATGTATAGAACTGGGACTTTACAAGAAGTATAGTCTGAAAGCATTTCCGCGCATGCGAAGCTATTCTGTTCAGGAGGTCGTCGCGAATTATAACGTAGAGATCAAAGTCGATACATGAGTACAAAAAACTATAAAGATAAAGGCGGATGGGCCAGATATTATGATACACAATAAGATGCGACGTTAAGTAATCCTGGATAGAAGTTGGCATCATTGATCAAGACAGGTTGACAGCTGTCGAGACCGAGAAAAAGTACGATTTGCTAGCTAATAAACTCGAGGGCAGAGATGAAATGCGGGACGAAAATAATTCCGTATGTGATGACTTGGGATAGGATTGTAACGAACTTCCATAATCGTTATGCGAAGGAGGAAATCAGTGTATCTGATCACATCGAGGTATATGTCCAGTCGATAATTCTCAAGAAGACGCTTGAAGGCATCTCATTCGATACTCGTTATGAATTTCAGGAGGACGAAGCGAAAATGATGAGTGCAACAAATCTGAGCGCAAGACAAGTACAGCCAGAGTGCCGTAATACGATCCAGCGCCAGAACCAATAAGGCTAAAATTAAAACAAACCTCCACGTTTCTTTGTGATTGCAAATTTGCATTCTCTAACCGTGTAATTATTTGATTAATAATTTATGCATTTATTCAGACATACAATTCACAAGATGCAGAAAAGTAAGAATGTTCTGTTAAAATTTTGCTAACATTAAAAGCTACTAGCCAAATCTTGAAAATGTGATAAGAGTGATAAAATTTTTGTGAAACCTACTTGAAAAAGATTTGATTTTAATATTGTATTTTTTAGGCCTTAAGTATTGGAACTCTCATTCACATTGTCCATCATGCATAAATGTTGGTATACAATACTTAGCAGCTAGTTGTTATTTGTTGTATCAACATTTCATAAAGTATTTGACTGCATTAACCGAACCAGAGTTGTCAAGAGCATTTAATGACTGCAGATAAATTTTACTTTTAATATAAAGATATAATGGTTTAGATAGATTATTATATTAATTTAAGACAACACAAAAGCAATAGCAGTTGAATGAAATTTAAGGAAAGCCAAACTATAATTTTACAGTAGGCTGACGTTAGAGCAGTGAAATTGAACCTTCCAAGAATCCTTAAAATTTGCATTTTATCAGAAAAACAAAAGTTCATTCATTTAAAAACTTAGAAACTAATTAATTTGACTAAAATTTACTGCGTGTTTGCGAATACTTTATAAAACTTTCATAGCACAACTTTTCAAATTTGTACTTTTAATTATGAATTGTGATAAACTTCGAAAATTTTTTGAAATTATGGATCAAATGAGGTTCAAGTTTCTATTGTAAAAATAGTTTTCGATGATCTTTATTGATCATATAAAAGATCCAATAACCTAGCTAGCGTGTTAAGAAATAATAGCGTATTAAAAAGTAAATTTGTCACACTCCTACGGAACACACATTGTCTCAACTTTACTACAAATTCATTAAATAATTCTTGAGTTCTGACTTTGTTTTAGCTTTGTTTCTGCAGCAAATTCAAAAGGCTTCAATTGAATAAAAGTACACCGCGTTTTTCTGCTTTAATCACTAATTAAAACAAGTTATTTTTTTTTTTTATAAATGTGAAGTGCACAAGTAATATCTGCGCCACACAATGCAACCATTTTTAATGTGTAAGTGTCAGTTTTGGTTAAAATTTTTTCCATAATACAAAAAGCCTTATGGATACAAAATGATTAGTGCTTCACACGTCATTCCCAAATTATAACAAGTATTTAGTACATTTGATCCAGTATTACGAAACTAACAGTTTTGATATGAAATAGAAAGTTTTTTTTTTTAAATTTAGATGGCAATGAATTGCAGAACGATAAAAATTGTTGTCATGTTGACTACACGTCGAAGATCTGTTTTCAACGTTACCATGACTACCACAGCTATGCTATATAATGTGTTAAGCCTTTAAGAAATGATGCTGGTGATGAGTAAATTCTCTTGATTTTTTCAAAACTATGTTGCATCTTTGATGATTTTGAATTCTTTCGATGCATTTAAGGAATTTTCTAAATCTACTATTAGTGGGTCATATGAATGACTAAATAAGAAGTGAGAGCCAATTTAAAAGGTTTACGCTCATATTTTTTCTTCCATTCATCGCTTCTAAAACAGTCAAGTGGTTTTAAAACATTTACTGAAAAGATCGAACGTTGAATTACCGAAAATTCCAGATAAGTTTAAATGAGCCAAGAAGTACGCAGTCGAGCAAACGATCCTGAGAAGAACCTACAAAATAGTAGTGAACAGATATGCAAAAATGTTACACTGACAACAATTCTTAGTCAACCCGTTTACGATGTTTTCATTCAGCATGATAGTATGTTTCTAAGCCATTTGCATGATTTAAAGTAAGCGGTATAGTTCTATTCAATTTTTGTTTACTTAAAGCAATCATTTTTCATTATTAATCATACTGTAATTTAATTTTTTGCAGAAAATTTCTGTCGAATAGATCGAAATCAATACGAGAGAATGCTGGAAGCACGAACAAACGATCTCGTAAGCATTAGTCCTTCAGAAAGCATACAGTCAGCGCTAGCAGTACAAACAGCTTTTCATGACACTTCAATTTTAGTGCAAGGTTATATATATTCGTTTCCAGTGCACCAAGTCAATTATGAAACAAAAACTTCATTTTTAAAGAAATTTCAAATGAAATTCCAGCTAAAAATATTTATTATCAGTCTACTTTTTTGCTTTGTTTTTCAGGATTCTTGTCCGGATTTGCCACTTTTCATGCCCTTTTTGCTCTTGTTTTGGCTGATACCGTAAATTTTACCTCTGTTGCATATAATAGTATTGTTTTGAATTTTATTCAACTTTAAATTTGAGTTTGTTTAAATTCTGAAATTTAAAAAAATCAGCATGATATATAATACTTCTTGAATCTTGCTTAGGATACACTTCACGGAGGTTACACATGGTTAGCAATGCCAGCACAAGCAACTTTTTATATTTGTTTTGTCATAAGTACAATTGCAGCATTTGACAGGTGCATTATAACTTTATTCTTTACTAAAGATAATAGTGATTGATAGTTCTGAAATAATTTATGAAACCAACACAGGTGTTTGAAATATTTGCCAAGTTAACATAAATTTTCTTTTAATGATTAATCTGCACATGGGATAAAATTACATTTAGATTTGAAGGCAGCTCAAGTTTGATAGATAACTTTAAACGTGGATTACGTTTACAAAGTGGTAGTTTAAGTATAATGTTATGCCTACTTGGTACCGTAACCACTTTAACTTCAGTAATATGTGATGAATGGCTTGCAGCACCACTGGAACAGCGGCAAATAATTAAGGTTTGTTAGTAATTGTTTTCAAATCTATTTTTTTAACTTTATATTGAAATAATGCAATCATTTTTTCTGTATAATTTTCGGAAAACGTAGTTTATCGATCACTTCGTTTGCTGACAAATGACTCAGATTTTTAAATATAATTAATAAAATTTTATGAAAATTTTTGTCTTAAAATTAATAGGCAAATGAAAGTAATGAACTAACACTAGAATTTTTGGTATTTTAAGGAATTTATTAATGTGCATCCTTTTGATGCTTGGCGTATTCTTAGTGGAATTCGTGCCCTGGCCGCTTTATTAAATTGGTTTTTCTTCACTTTTTCAGCAAACAAAAATATGTTGCTGAAGCACATTCGTTATCCAGAAGTAAGTTATAAACCTTCTTTTATATTTATTTTCAAATTTTAGTCGCAAGAAATAAATGGTTTCCATGACGGTATTATAAAAAATTGTTTAAAAGCTGCTATAATATGTTTTTGAGATATTTCATTTTTAGGTACTCTTATTTTTCAGGAAGCAGATGTTAAAAACTGTAATGGACCATAAGACAAGCATTGTGAGTGATTTATGAATCAGTTGCAAGCAGTACATTTCAAATTAATCTATTGTTTTGCAGAATGATGAACAGATTGAGAACATGCTAAATAAGTCACTTTTTTCGAAGAAATAAATTTGGAAACACTTTTTTTTGGTGAAACTGAAAAAACGTCGAAAATTTGATTGGAATTTGTTAATATTATTGTCCAAGAGTTTCCTTTCTTTGCAGCCTTTAATGTTCGCTGTTTATTTAGCTTTTTAAGAGGAAAGCTATTTTTGCTGTTTTCGAATTTGTTGATTAGCTCTAATAGGTCTGAAGAACATCCCATCCATTAGTTGTTCGTTTTGTTATTCGCATAAAGTAATAATTAACTCTGCTGACTTTTTTGTCAGTCTCTCATTTCACTATAACTGCCAAAAGTGGGTTTTTGATAGGCATTTCAGATTTAGGAAAATTTATAATAGGTTGAAAGAAATTTAAGAATTTAATTAAGTTTATCACTTACTATTACTTGAAGGATCTTTATTTTTGAACGAAAGCCTGACCGTGGTCTTATCTCTTACTGTGGCGTGATTCACATAACCAATATTGAGATCGAAAAAAAAACTGATCAAGTGTTGAAAGGCCTTTTGTTTTCACTTTTCAACAAGTCCTGCATTGCTATTTGAAAACTTTGCAAAGCAAGCTTAAACGAAGAATAAAATGTTTATGATTGGAAGAACTGAATATTATTCATAAATTAAATGGTGTAGTTTATATTTCAGCTCTTCTCATCATGGCACATGAAAAGCAGAAAAAAGAAGGAAAAAATTACCGAAATGAATATGAGCAAATAGTTATGCGTTTTGAGTGGCATTTCTTGTCATTCTACAGTGATATAATTCTATTTAACTTTATTTTTTTCACTGTACACTGATTCTAGTTGTGCTCACATGAATAGCATAAATTAAAGAAGATGTATGCTTCGCACATCATTGTCTCTGCAGAAGCCAGTCTATTTCGATTTAAAGAATTCAAAAATAAATTCAATCGATAATCATTTTCACAACCTGTGATAAGTGTCACTACTGAAATAGTTTTATCAAGAAGAATATTAAGGTTTTTCTTTCATCTTGGAAGTAAATAGTTTAAAATAAGGTCAATTCAGGTGATGACCAACATCAAATGATGGTTTTTTGAAAGAAAGATACAAATTGGTGAAAACCTTCATAGTTGCCAACCAACATTTATTTGATCGTTTTGCTTTTTGATTTCTTGCTATTTCGTTTCCATTCTTTTCGTGTACTTTTTTGAACACAATCAAAATTTGACGCTCTCTGGTTAAACTTAATTCACTTGTCGACCGAGTAAAGCAGGTTATTTTTTTCACATATGAGAAAAAGCGAAAAGAAAATAGATCGGAAAACAGTTTTCAGGAAAAATTTAATTAAATAACTAATCAATCACTTTTACCTCAATCGTCCTCACTTCACTCTGTAGCTATTTATTATTGATAATTTTGTTATAAAATGAATATTTTCTTCTTTAATTCAAACCTGATGGATAGTTTGCAGGATTTTTCCTGCATCAGTTTTTCTAGTGATTCCAGAAATTATGAAAGAAATTGTCTTTGTCATTTCAGTAATGTTTTGAAGAGAAAAATTATCATTATTAACTGAAATATTGCTTTGTTCTTCTCATTACCATTTTGAAAAAAAAATGTATTTACACAAAAAGATTCTGAATACACAGCGTTTTTTTGTACAAGAATATAATTTTAATTATTATTTGGGAAATGAATGCATATACTTGAGATTTTGATGCTTGAAGGTATTTGTTGAAGATATTTGTTAGCCATTATTTGTTTTTGGATAATTTTAGTTCTAAAATGTTAACAAAGATGTCAGGTAATTGAAGGTAAACCAAATGACAAAGTAAAAATTATATATAGTATGAAAAGAACTTCTAAATTATTATTCTGATCATTTTATCACTGTGAACAAATAAACTTTTTTCAATAAAACTTTTATAAGAAAAAAATTGGATCTCATACCATCAAACAAAAATTATGCGATTTATTAATGACAAGTATTCGTGTATAACAGTTTCTCGATAATTTTCTGTTTGATCTTATCTATGAATCAGCAAGCTTTTTTTTCAATTTTTTGTTACCTACAAAATTTGAACCACTTAAATGTAAGGATTCACGGTTAAGAGGGAAGTTTGCTGATATTATATTGAGTATAGAATTCTTTAATAAATATTGTTTGAACAAATACTATGAATCACAGAATAGATCATCAAATTATTCTTTTCTTAAGAATAATCTTCAAAAATATTGTGTTCAAGAAAAAAATAGTTTACTGATTTATTACTACTGAAAATTATCTATTCCATAACAAGCTGTCTATATTTACATAACACAAATTAAATGTTCCTATTCAAATTGTTTGTAAGCTTACTGTTTTTCACACTGCTTTCTTTATTATAGTTTCATGCCGACGGCTGATTTTACCTACTCTTCTGCACACTCCTAACTTGTAATATGAATATTTGATAAGCAGAATTTTTTTGTTCGACTTTTTTTTTCAGTTGCTTTCAATTAATGTTTCCATTGTTATATATGTAAGAGAACGAAAATAAAGCTTTATTTCTTGCATTCACTCTAAGTTATTAAAAAGATAGAAATTTGCATATGCATGTTTTTTCAGCATTCTCCCTTCATGTAAGCGAAAAAACATTTTTCTGACTTTTTTTTCTTAATTTTGATATTTCCTGCACTTTTTTTTAAAGAAATTTCTTATACAGATTAATTTTAGAAATCTTAATTCACAGAAACTGTTATTGGTGTGAGATCTTTAACTGAATTTGAATTTTTCCAAACATTGAAATACATATAAGGTCCAAGCCCAGAGATGAAAAAGGCATGACAAGCTGTTTGTAACATACAGGATTTGAGCACAGAGCTTTTAAATCAGTTTGGAAAGTAGCCACCAGATTTTTCATGTAAGAAACCTGCTGAAAGTTAATGTTCTGTTTGTTAAAAATTTTATTACTCTACTAATTTAACAAGTAAAGAGCACGCAGAAAATCTACTGAAAATGAAAATTAAGACTACCGATATACAAAATTACAGATTTGAATTGAAATGAAAATTACTCATATATAAAGGTCAAGTGAATAAATTGCATCAAAGTGCATTGCAGTTTTTATAGTACCATGAAAATTATTTGAAACAGTAGAAAATCTAGATTTTTCAGTAATGTAGATCAATTTTCGTAAATTATATTTTGTTTAATGCTTTGTGAAAGATAGATCCATTACATTTATCATTGCAATTAATCACAGAAAAATGATCTTGATACAAATTTTTAGTTCCATAATATAGTAATAAAGTAAACTTTTGTACAATACATACAAGCTACAAGGGAAATTTAAATTAAAGTGAAATTAGTTCTAGAAGCATTAAAAATTCATGAAAGCTCAAATCTTTATTTTACGTATCGAGTAAACAACATTTTACTAAAAAATAAAAAGAATTTCCAAGTAATGAAGAGAGGAATGAAAAATAATTAGATCATGAACTTTTCGATAACACGGATTAGATATTTTTTGAAGAAAAACATCTTTAGAAGCAATATCAAGTTTAGACAATATTTCATTTTTATTTTCGAGCACAACCGTTCGCACAATAATCTATTATCTGGCAAGCTAAACTGGAAGTAAATTTTTCTTTAAAAAGTTGAAGTAAAAAACAGTAGGGAATAGGTTGCAAATCTTTTATTTTTATTATAATACTGCTTTTGAATAATTGTAAAATTAATCCCAAAGGATAAGTCTCCTAATAGTGATCAGTCATCAAGATAAAATTCCCAATGACTCTTGACTTTTAAATCATCATGAGATTCAACTGAAAAAGAGCTAGAAGTATGTTTTTTTAGAAATTGGTTCTATTTTGTATGAAAGTCTATAAATACTGATTAGTTCTTCATTTGATCGTCTCCTCTTTCTTTCATTTAATGGTGAAGATACTTGAAACAATGAATGTGATCATGAAACAAGCGAAATGCTTATTTTTGTTTTGGCGTAAACACTTTGTTCCGTGCGATCACTAATGGTAATCAAACTTTGGCACAGTTGTCGTGAAGGCAGGACTACCATTCATCTTTTGAGGGATAAATTCATAATCTTATATACATGTATGCTTGGCATAATTGCCGTTTTTCACGTGTCTCTTTTTTTTGTATGATTTTTTTAAACAAAAACTTTTCACATTTACTTCATTTTTACTTACTTGGCAAAGTGAATAAAATCATGTTTATACGGATCCAAATCAAATTTTCTGCCATCATGACTGAATCGTCTAGCTAACATGATTACTATATTCTTCTTAATTAACATTATTACTAGAACATTGCTGCTAAATTTTTCAATCATTGATTTGCGTATCTAATTTTATTGCATGCATCTATATTTGGAGTTTATTTGAACTCAGTGATATATTACATACCTTCTATGTATTGAGAATCAGGGAAAGAAATCACAGTTTTACTTGGCACAGTTCCGACTTATCAAAATTATAACTTTCATTTTAGTCTTTGCTAAATTGAGCAAAGTTAGATTTCATTAAATATGTTCATGGAAAAAGCTTATTTCCATTATATGTTAATCTTTCCAATATGTTGTCTTAATTGAACCAGAATTATTTTAGCTTCATTTTCATTTCATTACTGCACAATTATTGAAAAATTTATACATACATTTTTTTTATTAAAGGCATTAAAAGAAACATAACAAGCAAAGTTCTCTACCATAATTTCAATCATAACTTCATAACTTGATAACTTAATTCAAAACGTTTCGTCAGTGTTACTGTGCTTGCTTGCTAAAATAATTGATAAACTCTCTCAAAATATATTTTATGATTCTTAATTCAATTTTCAATTTCTGTATTTGACTTGAACATGCTTAAGTTCATGAAATTTATATGGCTATAAAAAGAAATATCTCAGAAGCAACATAAAGAATGCTAATTGAATAAAACAAGGAACGATGACGTAAAAGCATTCAAAATAAATCTTTAGACATTATTTTGGAAGTCTTTTATATACTTGAGCATATTTAAGTATAATATTTGAAAGGACAAATTTTAGTGATTTCTGACGATTCATAAAGTTTGCATTACTTTTGACCCTTATTTTACGGTTCTAGAATAAATCTAATTTGAGATTAAGGCATCATAATTTTTCATCAATTTCAATTTCTCCTTTAACCTTTTGTACAATTTAGTTGATTATATAATCAACTCAACTGCAAATAACAGAAACTTTACTTGCTATGTTTCGTTAGCACTTCTAAATCTGCAAACATAATCAACTCATGAAATATTATCCTAATCGCACTGCGATTCACATAAATTTTCACGAGTGAATGTTTTAATTTTGAGTGATGCTAAAAATTACAAATCATGAAAAGTGTACTTAGCTTAATTACAAGATCCAAAAACTTTTTTTGCAATATATATTCCAGGAGCTAACCCTTTTATTTTTACTTTTCGACTGAATATTAGGAATGTTAATATTAAAAACGTTTCTTTTTTTTTTAGTTTATTTTAATATCAGTATTTACTTCAAAGCTTATAAGAGCAAAAACAATTGACGTAAAATTCAGCATGATTCGTGACTGAGAAAAGTGAACACCTTGATTGAGTGATTATATGTATTTTATCTGCATAAAAATTAAGAGATATTTAGTCGAAAATAAATATTTCCAGACTTGAAAATAGCGTAAAAAGTATGGTTGCCCGAATAACAAATAGATTAAACATTATATGCTTTTAAATTGTAAAGGAAGCTTGGAAACATTGTCACAACTCATCAATAGATCTCTGCTGGAGATGATCATATAGTGAGGTATTGATAAGCTTAAATGCTCAGAATCAAAAAATAGTACCCCAAATATTTGAAAGAATAATATATTTTAATAGTTATTTATTACTCTAATATGACTCATAAAATCTGACTTTACTTTTTTATCGAGCATATTTTTTTACGAAAGGGATAGAGTGACAAAGGAAGACTGCCAATGAGCATATAAGATTTCTAATTTTTTCTCTCTAAACTTGTCGATAAGAGTGATGCACAATGAAGCTAGAATATATATTTAACTTCTTTTTTATGGGAACTGAGATAAGTAAAAGTTATTCAAACATATCTCTTAAATTTCTACTTTCTCAAACCATGCCAAAATTCTTATTGCTTTTTATTTTAAATGCGATACTGGAAGCTGACACTTTTGATTGAGATGCTAAGAAAATAATACTGTAATTGTTTATCTCAAAGTTAATTACTTGTGAGTGCCATCTTCACTTATTCAGCCAACAAAAAGAGACTGAATTTGTCAAATGTTCTAAACAAAGATGTAGACATAATAAATTAATTCAATTGTATAGCTGTAATGTGTGCGAAATTTTCAATATTTTTGAAAATGGAAGGGAAAACATTTAATTTTTTTTTCTTTATTTCATTTAATTCTGAAGCATGAATATGTATGAAGTTACTGTAGCAAATTAATGCGCTCACATGAACAGTACTAATTACGATTTAATTAATTGAAACTCTGTGCCATAATTTTTTTACTACTTAAATACACATAATAAGCTTGAATATACAATCATTAATTATATATATATTCATAGTAATTGAATGCAATTATGTTCAAATAAAAGCAGGAAAGTGTGCTCTAGCAAGATTATATGTACAGAAATTTAATATAGAAAATTTTTAAAAATATCCAATATACCCAAAATAAAAAAAAGATTGAGTTTTCAAAATAATAATGATCCAAAGATTTTAAAAAAGACTAAGCTTCAAAAACGTACAATGAAAGCTAATGTTTTTAAATAATTTTTTAATTCGAAATCTCTAACATAACTTTCTGCTACTGTGTTTGTTCAATTACCCTAATAAAATATTATTGCTTTATTTTATTCATTTCCAATTATCTCTATTAGTGACAGTATTATCTGGTTAATTTCCAAAGCGAAATTTGGTACTTACATAAGTTGAACTGCAATTATTTAAGAAGATTTGTTGCCAATCACTATAAATGATATTTAGGCATATGGCTTGTTCTCTTAACCAAAGTTTTTGCTTAAAAATATGATTTCGACGCTAGGTTTCTCTATTTGTTTTTATAGCATTTAGTGGTAAAATACGAGCCATATGCAAACCAAACAAAAGGAGGTAGTCCAGATTTTAGGGTATAAAGTTATTCTCCTCCGTTACCAAATTTCATTGATTTAAATCTTGGTATGCTGCCGTCTTTGATGTATTGAAGAAAATTATTTTCAAAAAAATTTTCGCACTAACTTTAAATGATAATTAAGATCTAGTCTTGTATTATATTAGTACTTCCTGAACTTTTTGAAATTCATTACTGCTAAAAAGCGCTCATTTTGGAAAAGTGCAAGTTATGCAACTTTCATTGCAATCTTGCATTGTAGAGGTCACTGAATTATATGTCAAGAAGAGTTAAAGTAATTGTTATTTAAAGCTTAATGAAGCAATACGAAGGCATTCATTGCTTTCTAGTTAATTATTCTCCATGCGAGAAATATTTTTTTCATTTGTCATTCATTTTCTAAGATTAAGTTCGAAAACAAATAAGAAAACATTAACTCACTATTTCAAAAATTTCGCATAAATCCATCAAATTATTGTTATTAAATTAACTACAACTCACGGAATTACCTGAAACTGTTTCTTGTGTGAAAATTTTATCTTCGCTCAATATTGAAAGTACTGGACTGAATGCTTTTGAAATGATTCTTTTTTTGTAGATCTATGCAATAACATTTAATGTATTTTTTTGAGTGCGATTGAAAAGTATCAAAATGAAAAACATATGTTGCAAATAAGTGGTAAGTGAAAAACAGAGTTATTGTAGACAAATGAGCAATGAATGAAGCAGTTGATTACTTGGAGCCCGAGCTTGACCCTATATTTCCGGTTGACTGCTCTGAATCAAACGAAACATTTTCACGAATTCAATTGTTGTATTCGCAACACATCATTGCATGGCCAAATTTTTCGGAATGTTTACCCCATTGCGGAATGTGTCAAATATTTATTTCCGATCCAACTTATATTATCTACAATTTATTGCTCATTGGTTTCATTCTTCCAATGATCGGTTTCTGTGGTCTAGTTGGGAATGGAATAAGTGCTTTCATATATTATCGGCCAGGTATTATTAACTTATTGCATTATCAGCTGATTATTTAACACATTTTGATTACTAGCTGATTTCCACTTCAATATTTCGATATCAATTCAATTTAAGAAAATACGAAGTACAGTAGCAGAATGAAATTTTGTTTTGCTTTAATTATTTATCATAATATTCTTGATTCTCCTTGGTACATCAGTTTTTCTCGCTTCCAAATAACGGTATGAAAATGCTGAGTAAAGATTTAGAATCCGAAATGATCGATGTAAAAGAATGAAATTCTTATATGTATTAAGAATGTATTATATTGTACTCTGAATAGAACAGTCATTCCTTTACAAAACGAAATTAAAGCTTTAGTCATTATAAAAGCTTGTTGGGACAGAGTATAGTTAAGAATAAAGTAAAAAAATATGAGCATGAATTTGAGTTATCACAACAAATGGAGCTTTTCAATTACGCCCACCAAATTTAAAAAATAAAATTTTTACTTGCAACTCTAATATTGGAGCTAATAATAAAAGCAAAATGTATAACTCATTTTTTGTAGAAATTTAGCGTAACAGTGCAAGTCACGTTACAGAAATGCGCTCTTCAACCAATTTATACCTGTGCGCACTTGGATGCAGCGACAGTGCAGTTATATGTACAGCAATATTTTTATTTTGTTTTGATATTATCAGGCGCTACTCGCTGCATATATCTTTGATATTTGGCACATTATCGCCTATTGTTTATCCAGCCGGTATGACTGCTCAAACATGCTCAGTGTATTTTACTTTAGCAGCCGCTGCAGACTGCTTCGTTCAAGTAAGTAAGCTAAGTGTCGATTTCTTTGAGCTGTTTATTCCTTAACTGATTAAAAATAAATATCATTCTTTACTGTAATATTCTAAAAAATTATATATATATATAATACTCATGAAGTCATCTGATAATAATTGCATATTATTATCAGATGACTTCGTTATGTATTTCTCCAGCCCCATAAATTTAAATATAACTCTCGTAGCTATGAAGAAATTATGAACTTACATTTTTCATAACGTTCTTTATTTAATTGCACCATTGCTTTTTTATTATTCTATGTGATAATCGTCATAGCTTTGATAGTGAACATTTTAAGAGGATATAGTAAATATTTAGAGTTGCTGCAGTTCCGAAACTTCCAAGCTCAATTCCAGAAATTATTATTTTCAATGCAACAGCATTTAGTAAATTTGGCAATTGTTTTGCAGGTATGTCTGCCGGATAGTTGCCGGAAACTTGTTTCCCGAGTATCTTTTGTCAAATGCATGATACTATGTATTGTCCTATTCAGTATTTTATATAACGTACCGCATTGTTTTGAAGCAGTTGTTTTAAAATGTTGGCACGCTCATTTTGATACTAGTTCACTTGAAGTTTGCCCAGATCCATTCAGGTTTCTACCAAGGTAAAATAATTTATATTCATAATGTATAATATTGAATAATTATTCATTAAATACTATTTTCCGCACATTAGCATCTATATTTTCTAATCAAGATTTAATTTTTCAAAATAGTTATTCACACTAGCATTAAGCATAAATTTTTTGGAAAAAACACTGGTTACCTTACCTTCTGGACCTTAAATTTGAACATAAACATCTTTCTGAAACTCAATGATCCAAAAATGCAAACTTGATTGGAATATTTGACGAAAGCGAAAAACTTTAATTAATCAAATATGCGGACTAATCATATTAAAATAAAATTCTAGTTATATGCTCATTTACTACAAGTACATGTATTCGATATTTCTTGCCATGGGTCCCTTGGCTGTCCTAGTAATTCTTACTTTTTGCATTATATGCGCCTCAGTTTTTTTCAACAAAGTTGGAGGTGATTCTGGCGATACTATTGCCTTGGTTTGTTTTATCAACTCCTAATTTTTCGAAATACCTGAGATTACGTAGGACTAATTTGAAACAATTACTAAATCGGTTTGTCCACTTTTTGTCAAATATTCGAATCAAACAAAAATGTTCTTTTTAGCATGATTAGTAAAATTAATTTCATGTATATTGGTTGTCAGAAACAAAGAGGCGTACCTTACATTCCGTTATAAATTTTTGGATAACAAGACACTTTTTTCAAACTCCGTATTTTCGTTTACAGATATTAGTGGTATTACTGTTTATAACTTGCAATGTGGCAGCACTGTTACTAAATATATTTGAAGTTCGCCTGGGTGAAATATTGGGACCTTATATCAATTACATCGTCGATGCATCAAATGTCTTGGTTGTTTTTAACTCTTCTTTCAACTTTGTCATTTACGTAACATTTTCCGTACCATTTCGCCGTACTCTACGAAAATACATACGTGCAACCAAAGGTGGAAAATCAGTAGTAGAAACGAATACAAAAATTTCACAAACATCCATAACAGCCAGTAAGACTACTTCGAAATCAACTACTTCTGAGAACTCGTCTAGTGACATTCATAACAATAACCACCAAAAAAGTGATAATGGTACTGATTCCATGAATGAAAACACTTATCCCACAAGACATTCTACTGAAAACTTAGACGCCAAAAATTTCAACCAAACCAATCATTACCATTATCAAGATAACTTTGAAAAAAACTTCCATCTAACTAGAAAAAGAACTATTAGTAACCTCTTAAAAACAGCTCAACCTGAATTACTTATATAAATAATACTTTCAGCTATGATCTTTGCCAATATATTTATCCTTTCAATATGCTTATTTTCTGCTTTATCAATTCATATATTTGCTCACCAGAACACAGTTTATTTGTATTTGAACTTCAAATATTTTTCAGATATCTTATTTCCGATAAAATGCCAAAAACAGTTAAGCGTGTTAGCTTGATATCATTGCATAAACGTTTTTCAAAAACAAGAAATTTCACGGAAGCAAACAAGCAATCCTGAGTGAAACACCCAAGTAAATTCCAGACAAGTTTAAGAGCAATTTACTATGCTTGAGATATATGGAACAACTGAAGCATTAAATATGTCTGGTCCAGCTCCATCAAAAAGATATGATATGAATCTAAAAGTCACTACCTACAAACTTTCTTTCATATTCTAAATTCTACTGCATGACAAACCATAGCTGCAATCCTAACTTTACATCAGAATGGATGATTCTATCACTAACAAATATATTAAATATGAAATGAGCTTCACCGTCAATTAGTATGTATAAAGAACATTGCTGTGGTTTGTGATTAATACACATTATTTAACAACAAAAAATTGAAAATTGTGAAAAGTACAGTCACATCAATTATCTACAAACTGAAAACGAAGATACATTTTTTTTGTTGAGCATAGTGAATATACTGCATTGAGATAAGCCAATTACCTTCAATTTTATTGCTGATGCACACTAGACATATTCAAATTGAAGAATATTATCGATAAAATACTTTATTTACATAAGTACATTGCAAATAACTACTGCCAAACACCTCTTGAAAATTGCTAAAGTGCAAAATTTAAAAACTTACAAAATTTTGTAGCTCATAGCTAGCTATTAATTTCTATTGTCTATTCATATCGAAAGCAAACTGCATAATTAATTTAGTGAGAGACTAGATTACATGGCAGAAAAAGATGTGGGTGATCAGAGCAAGAAACATTGTTCGTACTCACAATAATGATATTGATATTAAATGAATATAGAAAATATACAATCCAGCAATGGTTGCATTTGTCAAGATTTACAAAAAAGTACAATGGTTCCGGAAATAGCAACTAAACTCCTTAAAGAGTGCCTTTAAAAGCTGGTATTTTAAGTTTCGTATCCAACTGAACATTATGATCTTTCATCGAAAAGTGGCTGTAATACCGAACGAAATCAACTAACGAAGAAAAAAATAACTTTGTATTGAGAAATGCGAATCCAGACGACTCCGGATGCTTTAAATCTCTGTAAAGCACATCTCAAATGTTTCAAAAATGATTTAAATACTATTGGATCTCTGTGTAAAACTACCAGTTCTTCAATAAAACAATCTGATTTAATACATCGACCTAGCTCACATAGTTTATATGAGAACAACAGATAATAAAAAGCGCATTAGAGATAATGATAAAAGTAAAATATATAGAGTAAAAATAGAATGATAAATACTACTTTTTTGCAAAATCATAAAGATTCAACTTAAATGTACCTGTACTCAATCAAACAATTGTATATATGATTTCCATTTGATATAGTCAATGCATAATGACCTGCTTGTGACTGGCTGGGACGAATTAAGAATATTCCATTGGAATTGTTTGGATTACAATCCATTAGCGAGCGAATAACTTTGAAAGCTTTATTCTGTAAATTTGAAAATTAGGGTTTCATGCATCCAAATGAATAAACTATGTAGTATTTGTAAAGTTGGCTTACATTTTTAGCAAAAACACACCCTTCAACGAACAAGTCAAAATAACCTTTGTACAATCAAGAGAGAGATATCTGTCGGGTTGCCATCGTAGTTTTAATTCAAGCAATATGTTTGCTAATGGCTCCTGTTCTAAATCAGACAAAAAGGATACTTCTTGCATTATCTTATCCATTGCGATTTGTGATACATTAAGCTGACAAAGACGAAACTGGCAACTGTCTAGTTCTCTAGAAATAACTTGGTCTGTTTTTTCGGAAAATGGAAAATCACATCAGTTATTATGATTACAAATAACCAAGGATGATACTAAAAACGTTGTAGTGTACTCTTGAGAGTTCTCTATTCATTCAAAGGGAATTGTAATCGATGCTTAAAAGAGAATCTAAATACTATTTCCATTTAAAACAAAGGCTGTATTTTAAAAACATCAGCTTTACTTTCGAATAAAAACGATTTCACAAACCAAAAAACTGACAGAGCACATATTTGCAAAGAGAAATATATTAGAAAAAATTTCATTTAATTATAGTGTAATCACAAAAACATTATCTGTACAAAAAGTAGTCACCATATACAAAAAATTAAAATAATAAGCAACAAACTACCTATGTAATTTTGAAAGCTTGGGCGTTAAAGAATAACGTATTACTTCTTTTTCACTAATATTTTTCTCGATCTCCTCAATTTTTTCACTCATTTTTTGCTGTCGACAACGAATATTTTCCGCTCTTAAATAATTTGGACTTAAATATCGAGAAAAGACTGAAGGAAAAAGATGAAAGTAAAACTTTAAAAGCAGATAAGCTTTGCATAAACGAGACAGCATTTCCCTCTTAACACTACCACAGAAATTATAACACAATAAGAAAAAAAAACCCACCTTGCTTGTAGAGATAATCTATTTTTGTCAACCTGCATATTTTCAGAACCCCCAAGCAATACTTTTTTGCTACTAAAATGGAATTTTTTAAATATAGATCATTAATACAAAAACTTAATTTCACTTTGATGATACAGTAAGGAAAATTCAGAAGCAATTTAAAGCTGCGAACGCTCATAGTATTAATTTTTAAAGAGAAACCACTAGAGGAATATTACTAATAAACGTACCTTAATCTTTTTAATCATTAAGGCTTATGTTGCACGACAAAAATATGAAACAATAGATATGTTGTATAGATGGACAGAGATAATAGATACTAATAAAAAATGAATTGAAATCTTCAGCTAAGGAAATAATGGAAACTTTCTTTTCTAATATATCCAACTGATTCGAAAAAAGTGTATAGCAAGCGGTAAATGCAGCTCGCGCTTGTCGCTGCCTTTGCAAGTCTGCTCTTAACGAATCAAGCTCAGCGGAAATTTCATCATCACGTCGCATAATACGCAAATATGCAGCGTGCAGACCCCGCAACTGGCAAAGTAAATGTTCCGTACTGTGTATGCCATCAATGAGCTAAACAAAACAGAACAGCGAGCCAGTAAAATGATGCAGTTTGCTAAATTCATGTTGTTAACAATCCCTTATAATTGAAAAAAAAAAGATGAACCCAAGAAGTTTGCTCGAAAACTGGCTTGCGAAGTGGGTACAGAAGCTCAATAGAGAGCTTTCGATTATATTCCGATAACGAATTCCTTCGATAGTAATCAATTAAAGAGACAACTGAATCAAATTCCAGCATATCTTCCGTAAATCCACAATGTCCATCAGAAACTACAATTCTGATTAACCGATTTTTCTGCAATATAACTTTCCTCAATCATGTTTTTATCAATTTCTAATATTACATCCCTGTAATAATATGTAAACTATAATTAAACTGAAAAAAATTCAGGTAAAAGCTGTAATAACCTAAGCCTGATTTCAAAATATTACTATTTTTTAGTCTTCATAGTCTTCACATGATGTGACATGACCAATAATATATTTTCAATATTAATTTAAAAACTGCACTTTAGCCTCAATGTAATAAAAAATGGCCTCATAAAACTATATCATCGCTGCATTATTAACTGCAACGTGTTCCATTACAGTAACTTATATACCGATACTCTGGACAGAAAAGATAATACACAGTTACAGAACAGAATCGCGGATCTTATTCTTGTTAACAGATAATTTTTGACGTTACTGAACCTGTTTATTTCAAAAAACAAGAATCTGATAATAAGAAATGCTTACTAAAACAACTTGCACCCTCAGCATAAAAAAAAAACCCATTTTTTTCTTAGGACAATGCAATTATTACAGATCAGATGCATAATGCTTTCAAATCATACAATATATATGAGTGCATACCTCGCCATATCTTAGTGTAAGAGTATAGTTGCCTTCAGTCGAAGCGTCACGTACACAAAAAGTACCATCAGGACAAGCCTAAAACGTGTACCTTCCTATACACAAATAGCTGTATACAATGCACTTAATCCATGTTACAATTACTTACACCATTTATCTTGCAACCATTTCAGCTTTTAACACTTGATTTCATACACTATCCGTATCTAAATTGAGTTGACAAAAAATTTAGAAATTATTCCATGTGCTGAAGCATTTTTAACTCGCAAAATAATTTACGCTGATGGCCAAGGCAACTTCCTCTCTGGAAGCATTCGCCCAATACCATTCTTGTTGTTCAAGGCGATGTGCACAACTGTCTTCTTTCTCCATTCCACAAGCAAAATGATGAAAATCTCATCTTACCACAATTAGAAAACTGTACAGCTCAATCCCAAGAAAAGAAATGTGCAATCAAGTATTTACTTTCAACAACATCTTGAAGCAATCACTGTGCTTTACTTTCTAATGAATAAGAAATGTCACAAGATGTTTAGCTATCAACATGAAAATACAATCAGTATTGTTGGGCAGTACTTATTTTGCTGAAGTTTAAATACGCAACACATCTGCAACATATGGTTTTTAGTAAACAAGCTGTTAAAGGTATCTGCTCGCATAAAACCAGAAACCGTGGTCAGAAGTCTGAAACTATAACTCAGGAATATCTTTTGTTACTTATTTGAGTAACGTTAAAGCTTCCATTTCAACAAACTCAGTTGACATAGTCGTTAATTAATACTTCAACTCCTTTAGCCTTTAGGACCCTTAAATGTTGATGCTATATGAATGAAAATAATCATTATAAACTGATCACGCAAAACTTCAATCACTTCTTAACTATTTCAACTGCATACATTTATAAGTCTTAACTCAGAACGTCATTTGGCTCAAATCCAAAAATAAAGTGTTGTTAGATAACTTTGATATATTTCCGAACCATTCGACTAGAGATTTCTAATAGTATTAATTACATTTCGCTTTAGCGTACTTGCAAGTTGATTTGGTCTACGTGACTCCGGATCTCACTTGCTGAATTATTTGTGGATCTCAGATTATGTAATATTCAGGTCTCATTCAGCAAATTGGATGGGATTCTTCAGGAAATTTCAGGTGGTTGTTATAATTAAATAAGAAGAGTACATACATATAATAAATTACATTATAAAAGTACTGTTTAAAATTGCTGAAGAATGCCGATTGGTTGAGAACGTATCAATGAGTAGAAGAAAAGTCGAACGTGACTTGGTCTGTCTTGATTTGGATCTTGAAAAATAATTCAAAAAGTAAATATCATTGGCTTCCAGAAATAATTAACGATCACAATTTATCAAAGTGTGGTCATTTAGTTTATTATTAATTTTTTCATCACAATTTTAGTAGTAAGTACATAGGACATGAGCTACTACTCCAGAATCAATGAGGTAGAGTGGAAAAGTTTACTGTAATGAGAATACATAATTGATGTAAAATTCACTCATACTGAACCGAATGAACTGCATTAACAATAATAAGAATATTCGAAACTTCAAAAATCTAAGAAGACAAATGTTCTCCAGCAGTGTATCGAAACTAAATTTAGCATGTATTACTTCGAATGATTCAGACAAGAAACGAAGCACATTTAGATTAATCATCATGCATTTACATCCAATATGGAAATTTATTCTAGCTAGTGTGATGTTCGAGCTATACAACAAAGAGAAATATGGTTATTAGTACTAATTTCAGTAAAGACTACAGTATGTCTTTGTAAATAACATTTTGATCGTCCTAATCATTTTTAAACTTTGACTACCAAAAAAAAAACCAGGTCATCAATTTCGTAGATCATCAAGGGCAATAAAAGCAAACTTAAGGTAATTGAATGACCAGTTCTAAAATGCGTAAGTTGTATACAGTTTGCTTGCTTTCGGCCATAACTGCTGCTTTAGGCTTTCTAATATGGTGGATATTGAGTACCCGAGGTAAACCTGAGAAATGTGTTCTTTGCGAAAAGTCAGGTTCGTTAGTTGCATCATAGGTTGCTTACTGAACTACTAACAGAAAATAGTAGCTAACTTTATAAATACAGTATCTGATTTCAATGATATCGAACAAATTTAATATACACGAGAAGGAAGGCAGGACACTGAAAAATACTTTCTGGGGACATCTGTTGAAATGGCAATAAATGATTCAGTATCAAAAATGTATTGTACACACAGTTATTTATTTGACATCTTTTCTAATTAATCGCTGATAAAGTACTAAAAACAGTAAAGATAACTACAAAAATAAGGATTTGTGAATGATGAGAAACAGATTTTCATATTATGATTTCATATATGTTTCTATTCAAAATTCTGACGTTTAATTGTTAAGAAGGAGTATGTGGAAAAAATGAATTTGATTGCGAGGAGGGATTGAACGGAACCGGATGTATTCCGGCTCACTTCCGGTGTGATAAAGTGGTTCACTGCCTTCTACTTCAAAAGGTTTGTTATATTAGGACTCTAACATCTCGAAGTTAATTATTACCCCATTATGCTGTCCAGTTTTTAAAATTGCTTGAAAAGACATGATATTAGATGATTCTTTTTCACCTACCATGCAAAAAATGAAGGCATAGTTTTTTTCTGGTAAAGTGTTGAAATTTGTAAGCTGTTTATTGCATCTAATTCTGTGTAATGAATGATCAAGTTAAACCATAGTGCTGTAGAATGTCTCATTAGATCCTAACCATTGATACGACATCACATGTTTGAATGTGTTTGGTACTTTGTCCATAAAAAAAAACAAAAGTACACTAAATATGTTCTGAATTAAGGTTTTAATAAAAAATAACACATTAGGATGAAGAAGATTGCGATTATCAAAAACTTTGTCCACAAGGATTTATATTATGCAAAAATGGTAATTGTGTTCACAGAGACTTAAAGTGTGATCGGGTGAACGATTGTGGTGATGAAAGTGACGAAGAAGACTGTTCTAGTTCTGTATTCACATATCAGTGTCCTGATCAAGAAAATTGGTTTCGTTGCACAAAAGCCTCTTGTATTCCAATAAAACAGAGATGCGATGGAAATGTGGTAAGTAACCAATACAAATTCCGAAAAAGAAAAAAAAATAGAATGATCTAAAAGAAATTTTGATTTGAGATTTACGATACAGAATTTATAGGATTGTCCAGAAGAGGATGATGAAATGAACTGCTCTAAAGATGCAAGTCATTGTCGACGTGATGAATTTCTGTGTGATCTTCACCGCTGCATACCACTCACGATGAAATGTGACGGAGTTCCAGATTGCAGAGATGGAACAGATGAACCGGTAGTACCTTAGTTATTATTAAAGTTATAAGTAAGCATAGTCAATGAGTCAGGTTACTTGACAGTTTCATTAGATAGTTTCATATTCAGCAATCATAATATTAAGTCATCTGTAAACCTGCAAATTTTTTTCAGTTGACGTAAAAAAATTAAAAAAAATGTAAAAAATGATGTAAAAAATTTTTTCGTGTTTCTTACAGGTGGATTGTAAATTTGCCCCTCCCGAAGACGACTTTGTAAAGTTTCGATCGCGCGATATACTTGAATCAAAGTTTTAACAGAAGTCATATTAAATCATTCAAGAAAAAGGTATTTCACAAATGTACAGTCTAATAGAAGTGTTAATTTCGCTAATAGTAAGTCTTATTAAAGACTTTTTATACTTTGTAAGTCGCACAAAAATAATAGTGCCACGCATGATATGGATTATTTCACTTCTAATTCAAACGCTATTCTTTCCAAAATGATCTCACTTCATAGACTAATTTTGAAGGCACAAATAAGTATCGTTTGCTATTGTTTCCAGGAGAAGTGAAACAAAGAAAGGCTTTCAGTAATTTATTTACCTAATTTCTAATTTGCACTTTTTTCAGACTATATGAAATACCCAAAACTTTTTATGCTGGTAGCGGTTTAAAAAAGAATTGGAAATATACTTCTATAAATTTGCTTGCAGCAGATTAACTTGAAGATATAAATGATGATAGGAATTTGCTCAACCTCTGTAACTGACAACATATTTAATGATGACATCATAATTATTACTCACAAATATCTTGTGTGCGTAATCAAACCTGACAATATGTCATTATGAACTGCAGACTGGATTTGATTATTAACATTGCTCTGTTCTAAATTATGTCTAATACACTTTTTCAGTAAAGACTGTGTGTTTTCTTATTATCTCTGCCCTCTCTTTAATTTCAAATTTTTCACTGCTGCTAACAAACATAACAAATTAATTTTGCCAGTGAATTATTTTCCAGTGAATTCTGTAGAGTAAACTGATCAGTTCATCAAAGTGTACATAGTTATGACCTTCAGTTCCCGTTTTCAAAATATTTATCCTGCGTTAAAGTTTGTACTTTTAGGAAATTTATCACGGATTTTACTACGAACTAAACTTATAACTTATATTCCGTCTTTTTTTTTTCCAGCTCAAAATCATGTAGATAAATGATGACGAATGATTAAGAATAAGCAAGTCCTGATATTTTGACGTAACGTAATGCCTTACTGTACGGGAAATGAAGAGCTCAAATGCTTTTATCCGTTCTTGTGTGATTCATTAGTTCTTAACAAAAAAAAGTGGCAATAATGATTAACTATTTTGGTTCAATGTGCAACTATTTGATGCCTTCATTATAAATGTGAATATGCAATCTTTTGCTTGTCACTAACAGAAGGAATGAATATATTAAAACTAGCACGGAGGTTAGGGCTTGAAACTATAAGACAATAGAACAAAGACTAGCTTGTACTTCTTGTAATGCCACACTTGCGTCTCAAGCTACATGTGTTTTAGAAGAGTATTGCAAGCGAAAAAATAGGCAAGGAGATTCTCACTGCTGTTGCTGTTGCTTAATGCTTGTCTGCGTGAGATGGCAGATTTGTTCGGAAACTTCGTGGGTGTCCCTTAGTAGCAATACAGTCAATGGACTGAATCAGAGAGCAAAGAACGTTTTTGCTAGCGTGGTGGGTGGTCTAAGAGTTGATGTTGACCACCCACAAAGTTATCGCCGTGTGGCATTTCCTTTTGTGTTTATAAATGACGTGAAAGATTCAGTGTGTGAGGTCGTGTGATGAGGATCAGAAACGGAATTTTCTCTCAGTCAAATTTAGCTAAGCTGTAGGAAGAAGAACACATTCTCTCAACAAAATACAGAAATTGCAATTTGTATTAATCGATGAATATGGTCCAGAAGCTTTAAGTTTCAAATACGTTAACTTCAGCTTGTTTGATGCACAAAAGTAATTCTGGCTACTGTCATAATGTTTCCTTCCCAATACTTGATAAATGTTGCTTTGGTGATTTAAAAAAGTCTTAGAAAAAAAGATATGTAGCAAATTATCACAGCAGTTAGCAATGTTTTATTCCATGAATAAATAATCTATACAAACTATTTAGAATCTAATAACCAAGTAAAAGCAAAATTAATACATATATTTAATAATTACAGAAGTAATAATTTTGACCAAAGCGGAATGTTTCTGCTGTCAGCAAGAATACTCAAATGTATTTTGGTACACATATTTGAAGGTCAAGATTAGAAGTATGCATTCAGGAACGAACCATTCTAGGATTTAAGAGGAAGTTATTGATGTGAATAAGTTTGTGAGAATACAAATCTGCAGTAAAAGGCATAGACACTGTAAAAGAAAAGATAGATAAATTTTATCAGGCCTTGAAGATAAAAATTGACTGTTAATCAGTTTCTTTTTTATAATACTGTGAGAGAAATATTCTCTTTTTACTGTAAATGTTAGGTTCTTAGATAAATTGGTTACTCATTACTCTTCTATAGTGTCTATAAAATTTCATTCCAGACATATTTTTAAAACTGCCAAACAAAATAAACAGTGGGTTTTGTAACATTCCAAGCGCTTTCTTCTGTAATTAAATTTATGGTAAACACTTTCTAAAATGGTTTTGTATGATTTAAATAGCTTTCATGCTTATAAAATTTCATTATAGACATATTTTTAAAACTATCTTCATTCAGTGCTTGAAATTTTTCAAAACTTTCCATTTTTATTTTGGAGTTCATAAGGATTAGGTACCGATAAAGTTTTAATGTTTTGTAACTTTCCATCTAATTTTCTTCAACGACATACTAATCGAACATTTAAGATTCCAATAAACAATACATTCCATGCATTCGACATCCTTCGATTTTATTTAATTTTCGATGATTTCTTTCGAACCCTGGCTTTTATTTTTACCTTTCCCAACTATGATTCTAATTATTCTCCAGAGTCAGAATTTAAATTTGATTAAAATATTAAATACTATAAGCTATTCAACGTAATAACATTTTACTTTGTTCTAAAAAATAGACACCGAAGATTTTTTATCGTTGTATTTGGTAAATTTAAAACTAAAAGGAGAATATTTCAAACTGTATAAATAAAATCTGAGTACAAACAAATATCTTTGATCATTAGGTCTATCATTTTTAATCCTACAATATCTATTCTCTAATTTTGGCGAACAAAAATTATTGCAGCCATCAAGATAATGAAATAATAATATCTGAATAAAATACAAAAGTTAGGTACTGATAAGTTTTAATATTTTGTAACTTTCCATCTAATTCGATATTTGGAGTTTGATCTAACGATTAATCTGATCTTAAGATCAGTCATCTTCACTAAACTTTCATAATCCCATACTAAAGTATGATAGCTAAAATGATGGTTGAAATTGCGAAATAAGAGATAAATAAATTAACGTCAAGGGTGTAATATTCAAGTAATTTTATATTCTTGAACTTATGCAATCAATCTTACTGTTAAGCAGCGTTAATTTCCTTAGCGTTCATTGTGTAATAAGTAAATGGATATTTGCTACTTTTAAAACAATAACACTTAGTATTCCTAATTAAAAGAGTCACAGGTGAACCATTACCAGAGCAATTCGCCAAAATTCTGAAAGATCTGCTGTGCATACATGCGTTAATATATGGTCCATACTTTGAACACTTTATTTTAGTGTATAATAATTTTGGTTCAGCATCATGGCTTGCAGATCCAAAAAATAAAAATTGCGATACATCATGTTCTGAAGAATAATTTGTGCATCGTATAGATGATGTCAGACACTGAAGAAATGATTTTTATTTCAACACATTTTTTTGGCAACGAAATCAAAAGTATTTATTAGAGATTCAAAATTCTAAAGTTCAACATTTTCATGATAACAGAAATCGATAATTTAGTATAAAACATTGAGTCAAACTGAATTTTCAAACAAAATGACGATTTTTAAAATTGAATGAAATGCAGAAATTCAAGACTAGCTACGACTGGAAACCATTAATATTCAATGTTTTATACTAAAATATGTTTTACCGTCAGTCAAATTTTACGTGCTTTGCAATGAAAGAGCATAGAAAAATGTATTAAATAGAATGTATTTTTAAAGTACTACATATATAAGCTAAATATATTGATGTGCATGAGGTTTTCCATGTGAAGTATTTTACGAATACGTTGTCAGTGCCAACAACCATTGCATACAGCAATTTGGATTCCTAAAAAGCAAACACTAAAATCAAAAGCCTTATTGCAGCCATCAGAATAATAAAATAATAATATCTGAATAAAATACAATAGTTCACATTCGATATTTGGAGTTTGATCTAACGATTAATCTGATCTTAAAATCAGTCGTCATCTTCACTAAACTTTCATAATCCCATATTAAAGTATGATAGCTAAAATGGTGGTTGAAATTGTGAAATAAGAGATAAATAAATCAAAAGCCTTATATCAACAAAACAATTATAACATTAATTCTTAGCTAGACATGATTCGGAAGCACGAATTTCTAGCTTTAGCACTGAAAAAATGAAATGACTGCTATAAATTAAGTTCTCAATTATAATTTTAGTCCTTATGAACTAACAAATTTTATATTTATTCCAGCAAGTGGTAAAGAAATGACGAGAGATGTACTTTGTTTTTTATGCAAATGGATGTGACACATCCTAATCAAATACACATGCATTACAGCCATTGCATAAGTTGGACTTCTTTTCGATCAATGTTGTCACGTTTGGCGTTGGACACTCACCACAACTGAAATAATGATATGGACTTACTGAGTATCAAACCAACCGTCTCAAAGCCAAGCTTGTCCTCCCTCTGGTCACTTCATGTTCAATTACAGGTACAAACTTATCAAATTAAACTAATATAGGTTAATAAAAATAGAATAATTATTTTACTGGATATTACTGAACTTTTTATTGGACAGATAATACTTATGCGCATAATATATACTATAGATTAATTCTCATGTGGTGTCATTATCGTTCTATTACATTTATCTTTTACAGAAAAAAATGAGTGTGACGTTTTTTTGCTCTAACTTATAGCTTACTTCACTTAAGTGGAATTAAGCAATGTGTACACAATATAAACTGATCGAAAATTGTTTTTTGCATTATAAGATGAAATTTGTTTCTATGAATAGTGCTCTCACAAAGATGTTAAAAAATCTTCAAGAATATATAACTAGGAATTTAACTTTGTGTATAGCTCACTTGTGTTTTACTTTATTCCTCTGATAACACAATTCTTCTGCTGTGCTTTTTCAATTTTCTCTAGAATCTTCAGAAATCTGTGCAGATTGCGAGCTTACTAAAAAAGTAAAACCATATCTATACAACTGAGTTCAAGCATTTTCTGGGCACAGTATTGCTTATAAGTATGCTTGTTTTTCTTCCTTTTTGTAAAGCTCAACTTATTAAATGATGCTATCAATTAGAGTGAAACGCAAGATGCTGATTTACGAAGCACTTCACAAGCTTCGCTTCCCACACCTCTTTTAACAAATTCAAGCAATAACACAACACTTCGAAGCGTCAAAAGTTTGTCTGGTAAACGATTTATTTTTCAAATTGCTCATATTTAGAAAGAACTAAGTATTCATCACTTAAGACTGCTATCCATTTATTTTACTCGTTGCACTCATAATTCCGAACTGAACTTAATTTCTGATGGATGATGTAAACAAATGATTTGTTGATATCAGTAAAATGATTAAATAAAAAGAAAAATATTTGAATTCACATTCGAATCATACATATTTTCATATTTCAAATAACAAATAATAATGGGATATTTTATTAATATCAGTGTCAATAAGTTTAATGAATTTACGCATATTTTTCTTATCTAAACAAGTTTTCAATTATTTCTAATGTCTTGAATTTAAAAAATTATATGTCGAGCAATTTTAGCATTTTGAAAACAAGCGAGTATTTCAATATGATTAACAAAAGACTACTACCATGCAGCTTATTTAATAGAAATATCTTAGATATAAGGAATAAATCTAAGAGCTCAATGCCCTATAAAATAATAGAAATTACGGAATAAAAGTTAATACTATCTTGCTGTCTCTTGTTGATTGCTGATTGCCATAAAATGAGAAATATTTTAGATTTAAGTCAAACATATCGACTAGATTTGTCTGTGGGAAATATTCATGATGAAAATTGCTTGGCCACACAGCTTACAGATCAGTTCCAAATCACATCCAAGCAACGTTATCGATGCGTTTTCGAATGGTTAGAAAGCGTAGAAATGAAGAAATACTTGCTACCTACAAATTAGCTGAAACTTGATTAAAGTAAATTTAGTGGCATACTACTGGAATATGATAGTGTATTATTACAAAATAAAAACAAGTGCAACAAAAAGAATCAAAAATAAGGAACTTAATGCTTAAATATTTTTCGGCTTTGTGCAAGCCTTTAATTCTGTTGTTGCTTAATACCATGCGCTTACAATTTTAGATATTATGGAGCATTGTTACAAAAAACGAATATTTGCAATATTTGATATGAAAACTAAAATATTTCTTCATAACTTTAATATTGGTAGAAAGTTTCAACTCGGTTCTTTTGCTTGCTGCTTAAATTTAAATTATTAACGTACGCAAATAATTATGCTTGGCTTTATCAGGTTAAAAAACTAATAAAATAGAACTACTACCATGAACAGTTTGATATGCATTTGAAAATAATTCAAGTATGTATTTTAATATTTGCAACTTTAAGAAACTAATTGTAAAAGTGTAATTAACAATTTTCAAAGTATCGAAATATGATTTTTAGTTCTGGTTGATACTAAACACTTTAAAGAGTTAAGAAAAATTTGTTTTGAACTTAATTTTTATGCACTGCATTATGAAGAAGGCTTTCCTGAAGTTGTATTGTTATTTTAAGTTTCAGAAGATGAATTTATAAAACGTGATATCTTTTACATCTCCCAAACATTCTTATTTTAGCAAAAGCATACAGTTCGCAATAGTTGATATCCTGTCCAGCAACATTTAGATCATTTTACCCTTACGAAAGATCACTGTACTGCTTCTGCAACAAAATTCTTCAATTTTAAGCTTGATGAAAAAGCAGCTTAATGATTAGAATTGTTTTCTACTGTACAGGACTCCAGAGTAAAAAGTAAATTCTAACCATTTAAAAAGAATATGACCCCTCACTACGGAATTTGAACAAGCTAATTAGCTGAATAGTCTCTGCACAAAAGTAATTGTAGTAGTTATAACAATAATGACAAACCACTTCACCGTTCAGTTCAAAGCAATGGAAATTTATCCGATTAGCGCATCTCTTCAAGGCAATAGGTAACCAAGAACCAATGATTCATATGTTGCACGCGATACACGATCCTTGGTGTACATCTTTTGTGCCACCACAAGTCCCAATTTCATGTAAATAACCAAAGAGATCGGTATCCTTTAATTAAACTCACAGTTCATTAACTTCACGGACACACCGCTAATAAATGATGAATAAATTTTTGAAGGTACACAAATATTTTTGTTTGAAATAGCATGAAGGGACTAGAAATGCATCATACCATAAACAAATTGCTTTATTTAAACCACCGATTGAACAATAAATTCCATAAATACAAATATAATTTGCATACAACAACTGCAAGAAATAACGGCTTTACAACTCAATAACGACCAATAAACAACAAGATCAGTGAAAAATATATACAAAGCTCCGAATAATATATATATACAAAAAAAAAGGAAAAATAATACATTTATTTATCATCCAATTAAGAAAATCGTACTTTGTTGAGCTGTATTCATTGAGTTCATGAAATGTAAATGTCGTGCTTCCTTAATTAATGACCACCATCTTTAAAGATGATGCTTGAGCGCAAGAAACTATTACTATAGAAAGACGGATCTGTTTTGTCCGTGGATAACCGATGATTTGCAAACGACTATGTGAACGAATTCTGAACTTTTTTCTGTTGGCCACATAACTGATCCATCAAAACTGCGGCGAAAAATTCAAGGCTGCCGAGGTATGGAACTGCATCCTTCATGTTATGCAGTGTGTAATGAGTCAGCGACGATTCATTATTGACATATTTTCAATATTTTTTTGGTCACGAATATTTGAGCTGCTCAAAATGGGAATAACTCGACATTCACCGGAAAAAGTTGTCATCCTTAGTAGCTGGAACAGTTCACTCATGATGACTGTTGCATTTCTCATGGATTGATGGGGTTCTTTCAAAGATCCCGCGCAGTAGCATGGGGGCAAGTAGTTGGATAAATAAAATAATCTGATACGCTTCATGTCTTGCACCCACAGAATCTGAATGTGGGTGACTAATGCTATGTGAGACAGTCTTCTCTATAATGAGATAACCGAAAGATTCAATGAGCAACACAGCCACATTGTGACCATAGTGATATCCTGTCAGCTTCTGAATGCTCCAAAGTAATGAAAAGTAGCAATCATATAAATGAAAAACCCGTGCTGTGACCGATATCCTATGATATTCATTCAATTTAATATCCCGAAATGACGAGAAAGCGGCGGTTCATAATTGCTGCGTAATTATTCGTTTGTAACAAGTGATCCATTTAAAACAGAGCTCGAATTTGTTGTCCACTAGCTGAAGGTGTTTGATATCATAATTTCGTAATGGACACCTCAGCTAAAGAAATATTTTTTTAGAAGTTAGCAACAGGTGATGAATTATCCAATTAATTAAAAATGCCAGGTTTCATCACCGAGTTGCCAATTTTAATCCGTGTTTCTGATGAGTGTTTACCACTCCAATCATGACTGCGAAGATGAATACTGAGATTCCAGTTCCGCATCTCCAATCATGATTGCGAAGAAGATGATTGAGCTTCCCGGTCTGGCGCTCCAATCATGACTGTGACGACGATGACTGAGATTTCTGCTTCGCCTCTCCATTCATGTTTGCGATGAAGACGATTGAGCTTCCAGCGTAAAATAAATAATGACTGATCTCGCCCATGAAAAGAGAAGCTTTCGAGTTTAGATGGATTCTTCGCAGTTTCTTGATTCAAAACTTCGGGACTGAATGCCCGGTTTCTACATTCCCAAATAATTCTTCCCTGAGATGCCCTCTCAAAGATTAGAAGGCATTCGACCATGATATGAGTTCGCTTATTAACAAACTGTGCACGGGTTTCATATGTCGATATTAATTTTTAAAACTTCGCGTAAAACAAATAACCAATTTCTTCCAATTTTTGACAGAGACTGTGGAGGATGCTCAGCGATGAAGATCCAAGCCACAGATGTGGAAAAAATTTGAAGCATCCGTAACTAATGCTTCATAAACCATGTTCATCTAAAACAGGAAATTTATAAAAATTGCGATAAATTTTATTAAAAAAAAATTATAAGCACTAGTTTCGAAACAATATAGAAAAGTGAACAAAATTTTAAGCGGCTTCGACTACTGTACAAAAAAATCTTTTATTGAAATGTAACCTTTTAAAGTCTCCATCTCATTTGATTCCAGATCACTGGAATTGCTTTGAAGATTATGGGACGTTGAGTTACCTGGAAATATGCAATAATTGTATAAGAGATGAAAATAATAGAGATTTATGATAAATGTAGTCACGAAATCACCCAAAGTTAAGCTTTATCCATGAGTATCAAGCATTTAAATTATCAGTATCTAACACCCATCAAGCATTTAAATTATTAGGGACTAATACCGCATTATAAAAAATAACAAAAGCCACAAGGCAACACAAACACACCTTACACTTGCACGAGAAGGACAACAGACTGAAAAAGTCCAGCCTTTTCCGTTTCACAATTAGTATTACGGTATTGCAAAAATTCATTTCAAGATAAATCGTATGTGCGAAAATTTAAATTTTATCAACTAAAAATAGTTTTAATTTAGAATGATTAGAATCAAAACGACTATGATCTCAACTTTGAGGGTACAACAGCAATAAATTACAAATTCATTATAACTAAGCTTTTAGCTAGAAATTTTGGATAATTTTTGTTGGTTCCATAAGTAATGCCATGGAAGAAGCTCAAAAATCTCTTAAACTAAAAATTCTCCTTCCATCATATTATTTGCTGCTAGTTTTATTGATTGATTTGGAGTCGATCAAATTTTTTTTGATTTCATTCCTGTTTTGTTCATATTTTGCTAACGTTACCTTTTCTAGAAATGAGATTGCCTCTAATTACTGATTGGTGTTTATTATGTTCAGTAAGCTCTGTAGGAACAGAAAAAATATTGTGAACGTTACATCATTATATGCTTTTGGTAATTATAATCACTGCATACAAAGAAAATTAAATTAAAAACTCGAAATAAATATATATTATTTTAAATGAATAACCTTTATTGTTAATTTGAATAATAAGGAAAACCAAATTACCATAATAGATTAAAGGTTTGAATTCCATTCAAGAAATAGTGTGCAAAGCTATGAATTATGAAGAAGCTTCACAAAAGCAAGCTATAAATTATTAGAGACAAGCATTATGCTCTAATTTTTCTAGTTTTGTTTACATACAGTCATTTAAATCGTTTTCAAATACAGTTAATATTAAGATCTTTGTAGATCATGATGTGGAAAAAAATTAAATCTTTATTCTTCTACTGTATATAAGCTCATAATGAATCTACTGTATATAAGCTCATACTTGCAATGTTACTGTTTCGGCCAAAAAAATTTCTCATTAAATCTTTACAGGATAGTTTCGTCTTGTTACTGAAAATAATAATTAAGCATTACAGAAAATAGGTTTTTTAATCATTGTTATCGGCAAAATTTACTTATCGTTCCTTTAGCTATCAAGAGTGACTAGTTAGTTCATTCTAGCGTAAGTTAATAGCAAATTTTAAATTTTGCTTTGTAAACTTTCTTTATTGCTAGTTTCAATTATTAAACAGCTAGAAATTTGCAAGGAATTTATGATTTTGTAAAACTAATGATGTAATAGTATTTAGGAGTCAAGTGCTTGGTTTGACGTTGTAAATGTTCTTGGAACTGAGAATATCTAATGATTTTAATCATCTTTTCTGATTTTAGATTTGTAACGCGATAACAGCAAGTAAGTGTATAAATATTTCTCCAGAAATTTATTAATTCAATTATTCCTTTCTGAATCGAAAAATGATTTTTCTAGGTGTTTCTTCTTGATAACAAATTTTGATTAAATATTTATGAATATTTGTTTCCTATTTATTTAATATTTTTTTACTTCAATCTAATTTCATACGTTAACGATTCTCGCAGACTGTTTTCCAAACTTTATAAAATACTTTTTAATTTATAAGAGTAGATGCTTTTCATAAACATTATATTTTAGATCAAAAATAAAAACAAAAATGAAGAACTTTGGTATATTGAATTATGACTTGCGCATTTTAAAAGAATTATTCATTAATCAGATAGCAAACTGGAATGTTCTATCAGCATTAAATTTTTGTTTACATCAGATAGAATACCTCATTTCATTCTTATACTTACTATAAAATTTCTGTCATTTCATTCGTATCCTAACAGCTAAATCTAATATGTATTTTAAAGCTACGCTAATTCCTTGCATATTTTATTTCAATTGCTGAAGATCTATTGATGAACTTAATCACTGAATATGTTTGCAACGTTAACTCCAAAGATATAATGTCTAGCATTATCTTTGTGGATATCACGGGACAATATTTTCGGAATCACAACATGATTTCTTCAAGCAATTTCTACCCACGCAACGATTCTTTATGTTTTGACCGTCTCCTCTCACAATATCCACTTGAACTGTCACATTGTTTGCTCCTATTGCTTTTAACAACTGGCACGTCTAAAAACAAATTTGTACAAAATTTTAGAAATATGTGTGAGTAAAGATGTAATTTTAAATTGATGATCAAAAAAAACAACTTCAATACCAATCAATGCCAGGTTGCTTCAATTTCAATAATTGTTTTATAATGCTAGTGATTAAATTTACCTGTTTCTGTATGTGCGCAAAATCACCCTGTGCTTGTTGAAGTGCTTCATCACTATTTAGCATTCGTCGATAAGAAAGATTTAAAAATACGTCAAAACTATTTCCAGGCCACACTTGATATGCATGCATGTGGCTGCATGAAATTAAAGAAAACTGAAAAATTTGTTATTATCTAAATCTTATGCAAATGTTATAATTGATTATTTGTTTGTCAAAAATTAAACGTACCAAAGCAGCTAAATTTTTTTTGAATTCTTCAATATTCAAGCCTTTTGGTATGTCCGCAAATAAAATAGGCATTGATCGATAAACTACAAAAAAACCTAGCAGAAACAAAAAAATAGTTGATATTCAAACAAATATAAGTAGATAAATGATTGAATAAACAAACAAGTATATATGCTTAGCTATATTTATATCTATCTTTCACTAGTAGAAATTATACAAATAAATATTACAGAGTAGTACATCACTTATTATGCAGTCTTTTAACGCTTCGTAATATACATGTTTAATTTATTTACGGCAAAATATGCAGTGGTTTTATTTTTTTCGTTATGTAACAACTTTAATAATGGGAGTTAATAATCAGATGTTAGTTCTAGTTACTCAGCTTTTTTAATTTCTTCCTACTATTTGAAACATAATTTTCACTCACTTGTTCGTAGAACTAAAACTGACAACATAGCACATATTACAATTGTCATAATAGGGTCAATGATTGAAGGGACGTTATTATTGAAGTATTGAGTAGTTGCTAGGATAAATGTTGTCGTAGTAGCAGAAAGATGAAGTAGTAAATGTGATGCGGTATTCAAATAAAATTGAGATAACTGTTTTAAACAAATTAGCAAAGTCTTTACTATCATTTCAATCAGAATCAAGCCAATGTAAAATCCTGAAAGATAGTAAACACCTAATCATATTTCTAAAACATAAGGACATCATTTACAACTATAAATTCAACGTATTGTCATGAAATTAAGTGTAAGAACAGGGCAATCTATTTCTTCATTGCATTGGGTGACTCAAGTACTTCCCTTATCTCTTTGAATGAACTCATTTCTAATTATTTTTGCACGTTACTTGTAGTGTTTAGTACATTTTTATTTAAAAAAAGATAGTATTATCAGTGTAGATTGAAGTTATCAGTACTTTAGACAGCCAATTTAATCTAAAACTTGTCGCTGTAAATAATTGTACCTTTTAAATCTATTCTATCATCTCGCTCGATTAGTATTTGAATGGCATGTATGAAGTTGGCAAACAATAGCGCTTCAAAAGCTATTAAACCAATAAACCAAAGTACACAGGAAGATTGCTCGTTAAATTTGAATCCCTCCAAATGAATAAAATTTGAAATTAGAGTGTTGTTCTTCTTGGATGTATTCAACAAATAAATATATGCAATATAAAGTTGCTTCTGACGTTAACCTTTTTTATTGATGAGTAGTTCTGCAATGTCTGTTTCACTAGATGTTTTTATTATCCAGGAAAAAGTACAGCCCTGGTAGTGAATAATGTAATATATATATATATATATATACATAATAAAGTGTGATATATATCATTGAAGTATACATTCCATTAATTAAGTGCCACGAAAAATTTGGCACTACAGAAAAAAATTTTCAAGAATTGCAAAAAAATGTTTTTTACTGTTTAAAAAACGTGTAATATTGACGCATTATGTACTAATAACGTGATGACTACTATCATAAAGAGTATGCTAAACGTCATTGCGAATCTTTGTTTTTATGCTTTTAAAATCTTAAGAATATGTCACCGTTGTTTTTCTGCGTTTTCATTTCTTAAAAATATGCTTAAGATTTTTAACTAATGCTTTCATTCACTATTTGTGTTTATTTTTACTAAAATTTATTAAAATGATTGCTACAAATGTAAAAATTTCTAGCCATGTTAACTGTTATTTTTTACATTGTTAATAAGTTTGTGTCGATAAATTACTGTTTATATATATTTTAAAAAATAAATAACATTTTTAAAACATTTAAAAATAAATTAATATTTCGATTTTTTTTTCATCAAATAGTGACCTAAATGATCCATTAAACTCATACAGATTAATTTTGAACTTAATAGTTACTTTTTTAAATAACTTTTTATAAAATTTCAAGTTAGAATTAATGATGTTCAATTAAAAAGACTAAAAAAGTCTAGATTCTGAGATAAAAACACTATCAAGAGAAATTAGAGCAGAAAGTATCAAGATAAATAATAAATATGAGCGAATAACTTTGAGGAAGCATATTGATTAAGTGATAAAGGTTTGAATTTGTTGAAGAAAGAAATGAAGATAAGCAGTACTTTATTCGAGAGAATTATAACAATAAAGAAGGTATCGCTGAGTGCTATTCGAATCATTAAGCAGTGAGTAAAGCAAGCAGCAATAATTTGAAGAAACAATAATGATACAACGATCCAGTATAGTAAATAGAGCTTCGGTTGCATGGTAGATTTCATAGATTTTAATAGTAGCATTACTTTAAGAATAGATCGATTCAGGAATGAAAGTGCTATAAAAGACTCGCTTTACTGATAACATTTTTCGTATTAGCTATCAGTTTACTATTATTCTTACACTGATAACAGAGATTGCAGTCTGTCTATTTATTCTCTAAATGGCAATTTTCATCAATTACGTATGATAAATAAATGAAGTAAGCAAAAATTTTCCTCTGCTAATGATATAAATGAAAAAATTAACAAAAGTACTGCAATCTTAAAGCTAATATATAGGCAATAGCAGTTGTTTTAGAAAGAGTTCAGCTTTTTGTTTTTTTTTTGATAATTTTTTTAGCATGGTCTATACTCTAGTATAAATATCTAAATAGATTATTCAGCTTCATTTATCAACAGATTATTTTGTTTTCAAGCCTTTTATGATTATTAATTAACAGCTCATTCTTATCAAAAAATAATGTACAAATACTTATCACTGCAGTGACATCGCTCTTTCCAAAAGTTATCTATCGTTTAAGAGAAGTTTCTCTACTGTATTATATTGTAATATCAGCTATGACGAAAATGTATTATTAAATTTCTCTGCTAATTGTTTTAAGCTTTATTTTGTCCAATTCAAAAGATTGGTTTTTTTCGTAGTATTTTTGTTAATTTTTTTCTCGTTAACGGTCTATTGGTGGTTCTTTTGTACTGTTAAATTATATAATTTTTCCCAAAAAAAAATCATAATTCAACAATAGCATTTTATATACACTTTAAGCTCATTACCATTTACAACTCATAACTATGCAAACCTATTTGTAGCATATTGAAAAATCTTTTATTGTCACATAATTTATGCGTAATTCACGGGTACTTTAATTTGAAAAAAATTAAAAAAATTGTGGCATAAAACTCTCAAAACAATTACTGATACCATGCAATTGATAGAAGTGACGAATTTCAATGATTGTAACTAGTATTTACTGCATACCAAGCAAATTTTCAAGTATTGAAAACTTGTTTTCAGCCTATTACAACTGTAGGTCTCCTTTAGTCTTTGTAGCAATTCTCACCCCAGAACTTTCAATCTCAATTGTCTAGAATTTTGTCAGCAGTGCAAAATGTCATCTTTACATCTAAATATTCATTTTAATTCATAATAATGCTTGCAAAGTTTCTTTATTGTTGCACCAATGGTCAGATGATTTTTCCATAAAACAACAAACTGCACGCACGACTGCGGTCAAAAATTAATTCAATTTCAATGTCAATGGATAAAACATGGTCTGCAGATCTGTAGTATGAATGCAAAAATATGGATAATTTGTTTGATATTTACTTCATTTTAACTGAAAACTTTGTTTTCTACTATTCAAAATTTTTGTGGCGTTCAGAATGCACTGATTTTAAATACTCATTTGAGCACGCTTTGCAATTTTTTCATTGTTTAAAAATGAATTTAGGACAGCCGTGCAGAAATATTTTGTTACAGGTAATAATACTTAACGGCAGAAAAGTGCTTAAAACTATAATACTTAAGGTAAAATCTCTCCACATAAAGTGCAATCAAATGACACATTTTATGAACGGCTAATTTTAATTTTTTTTTCATGAAGAAGTACAACACATTTACAATTAATAACTTGTTTATGGATTATGGTGAAGTGTTTGAAAAACTTATCATTTAAGAACCTATAAAATACAATAACCACCATTTTATAATTTACAGATCCTATCAGTTTTATGTGATCGGAAACACAGTTATAGCCATAAAAACGACTCACAAGCAGATATCGCATTTTCTCGTAGAGGGAAATACAGAAATAATAATGAACAAAAAATTGCTTTTGATATTTTGAAAACAATTCAGTGTTCTAGAGAAATCAGAAGCATACCGTTAATTTTTAATTTGTTAATTAATAATCATAATTTCATGTCATCGCAGAAGCTCACACAAAAACAGCCACGATTATTACAATGGTAAGTTGTAGACTGAAATGCCTAATTCTAGAATCGGATCTTTTGCGTTGTTTCACACACGTAACTTGTTACAGAAAAAATGAGTAGATTTTCTATTTTTGAAACGGATAAAAACTTGTGGAAAAGTCTACGAATGAAAACGTATTAGCTTCAAAAAAATTTAATTCAACATCAAGTTGCCACTAATGCTGCATTACTGTATGTCTAATTTTAAAAATAAGAAAATAATCGTAATTAGAATATTTCCTTCCGTGAAAGACTATGCAATCATTGCCTTTCCAAATGACCTAAAACAATAGTCCAGAAAACTTTAAGGATACAATAATGCAGAACTAACTTGGCATGCAACTTCATGCTGAAACGAATTTCAATAATTCTTAATACTTTATATTAATCGGCTTAAAAGATGGATGATCAAAAAACAGCTCATGAGAGAGATAAAAGCTTTTATTCGACTTTGCAGCATTCAATTCCTATAAATTTTTCAAAAATACTAACACTCAATTTGCATGATTCACTCGCCACAAACGGGAATTGCTGGTGTAAAAAGTTTTTGATTTATTTACATTTCTAGCCTTAAGAGGTTTCTGAGCATAAGAACAGCTGCATTCATGCATGAACTATTTGAAGAGATTCACCAATTTTTTGTAACCTTTTCCAGCACGTCTTTTTATTTAATAAATAAACTTTTCTCATGATTTAATTCCAATTTTTTTGTTATTAAACTCTGTTTCCTTTTCAAACTAACAAAATTATAAATTGTCAATTGCGTTAGCACAGAAACGTTTATAATTTACTGTCAGTCTTGCACAGATCCATTCGACTATAATAAGTAAAAAAAAAAGAGAAACATGCAAAACTTGACTTCTGTTCAACTAGCCACAAAATGTTGACGGACTTCTACAATAAATAGTGGTCACTACAGATGTTTCATCCCTAGCTGCACTGCAACCACTAATCTTTATTAGCTAGAAATTTTAATAATATTCACAGTGCTACATAAGCTATAGCAATTACGATGATTCACAAAAGCTTCTCTACCTGATCTACTAATTCGACAGACTGATCGACAAATCTCTTCCTGTCGCAATGGCATCTAAAGCCTCTATAACTTTACCCAAGGTCAGTATGAAATAATTCAATCTCTCTGGCTGGACGTCTCGTTTATTTGTTGGAATTTCTTGGTTATTTATTCAAGTATCTAGGCATGGACTTTGCTATTACAATAAGAATTCTTTTATATTATATTTTTATTTTCTTAAGGTATCTTCGTATTAGGTATTTTTGTTTGTGAGTATTGAGTTTGACTTACAACTTGACCTATTTTTTCCACTTTCTCGAAAATGGGTTCAATTACAATTCGCCAACGGGTTTATCCATATGAAATGGCGGTAAACCAAAATTTGAGAAAATTGTAAGCTAGTTTCACGATATCATTGTTCTTTATGTCTTTTGAGGCAGGAAGCAATAATAATTGTAATTTTCAGAGTATCTTTAATTGATTTGGTGAGAAGGCAAGTATCGGTGTACCAGCTGATTCAAAATAATTAAGGCTGTCCAAAATTTTAATTAGTTTTCATTCTTTACATACTTGGTTACTAACTTTATCTGCAGCGATTGATTTAAAAAAAATACTGTTTGCTTAGAAAAGTTTAAACTTTTTCTAGTGTACCTTAAAAAAGGCCTTACCGAAATATTTTTTTCTAGTTGCTGACAAATGAATTTTTTAATGAAACATATGAAAATTAAAATATAAATGCAATAAAGAGCATGTTGTAGATATAAATTTGTTTTACATGTTGAGTGTGTGACAGCGTTGATGATATTACACTCTCTATTGTTTCGCTGATAAGTTTAATTTTCAGAGCAAAAAAGATTTTAATCAGAACAGCAACATTACAAGTAATAGTTTGGTCCTGACATTATTACTAATCATTCAATCATGGTAGAAGATGGGTCCCGACGTACTTATAAACGGGACCCTGCGCGCAGGTTTCAAAATTTCTGTTAATTTTTACTTATGCCAGCAGTTATGATAGTGAGACCCGTGAAAACTTGATTTACTGCACAATTTACATTTTTCCTATTTGCAAACGATTTAGAATGATATGATCGCATTTTCTGTAATACATTTTATGTGAACTGCTGATGCATTTGTCAGTATTGTTTTGATCAGCATATTTAAACTCAAAATTTGCTTGTTTTAAATACAACTACTTTTGTGAGTTAATCACAATATTTAATTAATTAAAGTGAATCTTTCAGTTATTTATGATCACCAAGAAATAAATCATATGAATTCACTAGATTTTGGTCTAAAGTGAAAGCAAATTGTTTTAGAGTCTTTGTGAACCGTAATTTACGTCTGGAAAAGATTCGATTTTTCGGTTTTGACATGGATTATACATTAGCAGGTATGCTATTTTATTTCATGGTATTTTAAAATACTTGTAATGTATGTCGCACAAGCAATTCTCGTTGATCTGTGTCCAATGCTAAGTCGATAGAACCGAGTAGTTTAAGGAGGCAAAGTGCTTCTTTACTTGAGAACGTGATGCATTTTTTCTGTTGTTAAGGAAAGTTTTATTGATGCTTCAAAGGTATGTTTCTTGAGAAACTGTTCCATGCATGTAAGTTTTTATCTGAAAATTGTCGCCAAATATTCAACAAAATGAAATTACTCACAATTTTATGTTATCATTCATATCAATGGTTTTCATATATTTATAATTTTCAGTGTACAGATCTCCTGATTTAGAAATCATGACATTTGATATGGTATTGGAACGTATGATAAGTATAGGATATCCGAAAGAAATACGATCATTTAAATACAAGGCTGTGTTTCCTGTGAGAGGTCTTTGGTTCGACTATCTGTATGGAAATTTATTAAAAGTAGATGGTTTTGGAAACATCCTAGTTGGTTTGCATGGTTTTCGTTACATAAAGCTGTTAGTTTGTTTACTTAATGTGAATTTGAATTACAGATGCTATTTAAAGCTTTTAATTTGATTCATTTCATTCAAGTTAATGTTAACAAATCGTAAAACAGTAATAAAAAACGGCAAATTTTGATCTTTTAGTTGGTAGTAGTTAAGCACTGCAATGATATTTCTTCTTGTGCAGCTAAGGTATAAAAATTTTATGAAATTCCTGTTTTTTAAAGATACACTTAAAGAAAAAGACAGAAGAAATTTATATGCTTTAAATTCATCCAATAATTTGATTTCAGTTCTGAGATTGAGGAGCTTTACCCAAATAAATTTTTACATCTCTCAGAAAATCGAGTCTATGTGTTGAACACGTTATTCAATCTTCCCGAAACTTATCTGGTTGCATGCATTATTGATTTTTTTGACAACAGTCCCAATTATACACCGTAAATTTTGTTCAGTATTTCATAACAGGGGTTTAAGAGAGAGCTAATGAAACTTTTGGTGTGGCAAGTTTCGCATCCCTATATATAAGCACAGTGGACATTTTACAGAACTGGAGATCGTACAGGAGTGAAGAGTGGTGACGTTTATATGTCATATCGTTCTATTTTCCAGGATATACGTAATTCGGTAGATTGGGTGCATTTTGAGGTAAGATTAAGATAAGTATTCTTGATTTGAGAAATGTTTTTTGGGTGCATTTTGAGGTAAGATTAAGATAAGTATTCTTGATTTGCGAAATGTTTTTTAAGTAAAAGAATAAATTCTAAATTACTAGATCTGAATATCAGAAGCATACTCAAATCTTTTGTAATCTTTCTTAAATCCTTAAATTAGCTACACATGTGGATTTTTTTTTTCAAACAGCTAATTTATAATCTTATTTAAATATACTTCAGAGTTTTTCAGTGAACATTTTTCTTTATAGAGCAATATGAAACAAATTATACTGGAAAATAAGGAAAAGTACATTATCAAAGATGAACGTTTAGAACAGCTTTTATTGCAAATTCGTTATTCTGGCAGGCAGTCGTTCCTTCTCACAAATAGTGATTACTCATATACTAATGTAAGTCTGTTAACAAGCCTCCAATGCTCTCTTATATTTCCATTTGTATTTTTTCAATTTTTATTGATCTGTCATCATTTTGCATCATATGTATGTGTAATATTTTGTTTGGTTTGATTTAAAATATTTTTAGGGTGTAATGGAGTATTTGCTTGGAAAGGAGTGGACTTCGTATTTCAACGTTACAATTGTCGATGCTAAAAAGCCAAAATGGTTTTCTGAAGGTACTGTATTCAGACAAGTTAATACCAAAACTGGTGCACTGAGAATCGGTGTTCATATGGGACCTCTTGAAGAAGGTCAAGTATATGCTGGAGGTTTGTTTATTTGTTTAAAAAAGTTCAAATTTAATGATGTACTCAATTATAAATGAATCATATTGCCAATATTTGAGTTGTCAAAACTGATTAATTTCCATAGTATATATGGTAAAGGAATTTCAGCGACGGTTTATATTCAAGTATTGACGTTTTCGATGCTTTTAAAATGTGTTTGGTATTGAAATTCTTTTGCTTGTATGGGTCTTAGCGTAATGACTGTAGTTTTGGAAGTTAATCGTAGATTGCTCTTAGTATCAGTTTACTAAAAAAGGAAAATTTTCACATTCAGGTTCTTGTGACGCATTCAGAGGATTAGTAAAAGCTCGTGGTAAAGATGTTTTGTATGTAGGCGATCACATTTTTGGTGACGTTCTCAGATCAAAGAAGGTTTTTATTAATCTTCGTAACATATAAACTCTGAATCATGCATTATATTTGGTGTTGTTCGAAAAAGTTCGTTTCAAGTCTTAAAATTATTTTACTAGGCTAGGGGATGGCGAACTTTTCTTGTTGTACCTGAATTAGCTCGTGAATTGACTGTGTGGACTCAGCGTAAACCTCTTTTTGAAAAATTAACAATGTTAGACTCAGAATTGGCTGATGTATATAAAAATCTGGACAGTAATTCAAAAGAAAAACCATCTACAGTACACATCACTGCTAAAATCTCGGTATATTTTATTTTGATTTTCAATGTATATTTTATTTTGATTTTCTTGAGGAAAGCTTTTACTTGTTTGTTTCCAACTTTGATCGCTCAAAACATTTTCAGTTGTTGGCTCATAAGATGGATAATGAATATGGTATGCTGGGTTCTGTTTTTCGCAGTGGATCTAGGACTACTTTTTTTGCTTCGCAGGTTTCTAATTTTCTTTTTAAGTCTTCAGAGATTTTAAATTTATTTTCTCTTTCTTTTTTCAGATCAAAGATTGTAAAATGTATTTATTAGTGTGAACTAAAACAATGAAAATGCTTCATTTCTTATGAGTCACTAACGAAACATTAAAATTTGAGGTAGAACGGTATGCCGATTTATATGCATCGAGTTGTTGTAATTTAGTACATTATCCACTTTTTTATTTCTTCCGTGCTCCGATGACTTTGATGCCTCATGAGTCAACTGTAGATCATGCATCAGTTATGACACCTACAAATCATATAATTCAGAATTCGTCTATGGAAGGTAGTATATTTTGTTTCTGGTGTTTCTGAAATTAAAAATATTTGAATATAGCATTATTTTGGACGTAATGATAACTAATTGCCTTTAAGTTTATTGTATAAAGAAATTTACAGAACTTTCTGCAAATCGTGTTTTGAAAATGGATCAAATTCCATTTTGCCACGAAGAGGAAGAGGAAGAAGCATCGAATAGTGAACCAGAATTAGATGTTGAAAAAATAGATCCGCCAGAAGAAATAAGAAACGAACGACTGAATAATTCAGATGTCATCATTATTTCACCACAGCATGTAGATAACATATCAGACTAAAGCTTATTTGTATAAATTATTTTTGCAGCAATTTTTTGCTTTCAAAATTTCTAAGTTTTATTCTTCTCAACTCACTTTCAGAAACATTTAAAAGAATACATATGTAAAGATTACTGAGTTGTCAAAAGTAATAGCTTTTCATCGTTTCAGCAATAATATTTAAAAATGCCTTATCCCTGTGCAAAAATAATTATAAGTCAGTTCTAGTGTATTCTTTATTATCACTTTTTAAAATAATTTTTTCATATAAAATCAAATATTTTCTAGCTTGTTATATTTTCCTAAAATAATTTTTTACTTGTGCGGAAAAATTTTGTACTTTATGTGAATGCATGTCAAGTGTCAAGTTTTTTTTTTAATATTTTTAATTAATATAGCTACTAATCTAAAAAAAGCAAAATCACGAAGAATTTTCGTAGCTGATTTAAATGTATAATTTTTTGGAATTAGTTGTGCAATTTTTTGTTTTGTAATATAAGATGTATTATCATTCGGCTACTCTAATATTTATGACATACATGTATGAAGCTGAAATATAAAAATTTGAAGTATATATAAGCATTATTCAACATTCCTATTTGCTAATTAATTTTTAATATTGCTTCCTTATGATCTTCGTCATTAATACTATTCCAGTTTGATGCGACATATTTCTATTGATTTAGTCGTCGTAAATTCATATCCGCTAGTGAAGTAACCTTTCCGTGATGCATATTTTCATGCAGAAGATGTTTTTTAAGTTTGGTGATCGCTTAGTGTGGTTTGTATGAGCGAATCTATGCTGTTTTCCTGAACAAACGATTCTATTTTCGTTTTTTATACTTAAGCTTATTACTGATACAATTCTATTTCAAAAAGTATTTGGTTCATTAATTTCCTTTGTAGAAATCAGTTTCAAAAATAAAGGATATATTAGATATATTTGTCAAATGTGCGTTCACAGTTAAATCGTTTTTGTGAATATATTCAGCAAAAATATAGACATTTAGAAGGAGGCAAGAATAGAAAAACATTGACATGTTATTGTAAGATTTATTGGGTCGTTATAATTCTTTTTGCGTTCATATCATGCCGAAGTTTAAACGAACATAATACAATCATCTATATTTACAAATAAAATTATTCATGTGGTTCTATTAATAAGTTTAGTGCCTCTGTTCATTTGCCTGATTGTTTTTTGCTCAGATAGTTCTTTCAGATGAATGTTTTTCTCTCAAATTTAGAAAATTGGAAGTTATGAGAGATAAAAGGTATAGATTTTTTCCACGCAGAATCCTGTTACTTGGATATTTTCTATGTTCCTATTTTTATATGATATTCTTAATGTCTAGAGTAATAACTAAGAAAAAAATACGGCTTTGCAGAAATAAAAAGAATTTCCTACAAATATGATCTGAGTACTTCGAGTCTGTTATATATGAATAATAATAGTTAAATGAATTGGGGATTATAAATAAAATTTTTGAAGCTTATTCAGAACGCTCATTTCCAAGTTTGATATTTAGAACTTAGTAAGGTATTGAGGCTTGCAGATCAAATTGAGTCGGCAATCACACTATGAAAAGAGTTTGATCTATTATAATAAGTAAGTAAATCAAGGAGAATATCAGATTTGAAAGCACTGGAAAAGTGTGGAGCAACTATGTGATATTGTAATAATTTGCAATAGATTCTTTGGAAGTACATTGAAATACCAAAAAACATAAAATTTACATAACTGGTAACAAAATATCTATGGCATCTGAATCCTAGTTTTCTATTTGCAATATGACAATGTCTTTTTCAGGTTTTAATTTTTGGCCAAAAGCTATTTGTCAAGGAGTAAAATCAGCATAGTTTTTTTGCCAGTCGCAAGTCTGGAACATCATTTTCAATCATTTGAATATCATCTATTGCACAGGAACCTTGATTCGTCCTTGTATTCTCGCATACAAATAATATCTGCAAGAAAAAAAATTGAGCAATCATCAGTTCTGCTGCAATTTGTTCATCATTTACAAAAGTATCGAGTCTGAGTAGTTTATGTTAATTGTTGAAGATACTTTTTTATAGTTAGCATTTCTGCAAGAAGCGTTATTAGAATCTAAAGCTAAGAGTAGACAAATTTGTTCAAATTCTATTCAGAAGTAAAAAATTTTTTATTAAAAATATAATATAAGCTACCTTCGAAGTGCCTGCTGAACAAGTAAATGAGGACATCTTCCACATTCTATCCTCGACACTAACAAATTTATCCGATGCAAACAAACAATGTTCCAAATTTTCGCAACATCCCTTCAGTTGTACACCATGTGTACCTTCGTAATATCGGAATCTTAATCGAATTGGTTCTTTCAAATCAGCAATATCTATTGCTAGTCCAGCTATTTCTCGTGGATATAGAAATGTTGCTGCGTAATAATTACCTTCTGCAAACGAAATACATTTTACTTTTGAATTTGCTCATTTTAAATTAAAGTAAAATTATATAGTTGTAGTTATCAACATTTTTTTAGACTCAAATTGAACGACATTATAAGCTTTTTAATGAAAAAATTCCACTTACCAATTCCCTCTTTAACACCAGTGATCCTGTTCATGTATTGTCCAGTGACAACTTGGAAACTTGTTGTCACTCCACGAATTGATTCAGTTTGGTGTGCTTCTTTATAGTTGCACATATTCTCTTCAATGATATAATATTAGTAATATATTCAATCTTCATATTAACAAATTGATTCAAAAGTATAAGACTTACGGTTTTCGAATGTGCATTTGACATTATTACATAAGCTGGGTAAAGTATTAGCTGTCTTGGATGCAAATACTCTATTGGGTGAAGATGAACGAGCAGAAAGACCAGATGCAGATTCTAATTCTGATTCTGTCAGCAAATCAGATTCAGCAAAAGATGCTACTTTCGAAGGCTGAATTTCACCATGCAAGTTTTCTTTTTTCAACGTTACTGATGTCATAAGCTTTGTTTCAGGAACCGAGTCTTTATCATTCTAAAACACTTAATTTTTAAAACTGAAATACTTTAGCAATTAATCTTTTCTCTGAACCCTAATAACTCTCGTCAATGTTAATTTTCGCAAAGAAACATACAATTCTAAGCATGAATTAATAAGAAACGGACATTTCTGAAGTCAGAATTTTTGGTGTCTTCTATCGAATTCACTGCTACTGTTGTCTTCTCTTCTATCTGTGACTTTTGATCTTCTTGTTCAAGTCCACATTCTTCCCCTTCACTTTCATAAATCACTTCAATGTCATCCAAAATTGCCATATCACCTTGTTCACTAACAAAGTTGCTAGCCACAAATACTATCTAAAATTTAGAGTCTGGCATATTTTTTTCATTTCATTTTTAATTTAAACTTTCGTAGAACATTTTAAATATAATTTGATATGCAAAAATTAATCAACTAACGTCAGTAAGTGAAGCTTTAGGAAGAACCACTTCGGTGGCGCCAAGACTATTTACCATTGGAAATTCCTGGCAGTTCAATAGCGGATTGAAGTTAACAGTATTTGGAAATGATTCTCGTTGACATACTTGTAGCAAAACATTCTCGGATTGCCAGTGTCTAAATAGTATGCTGTACACTTTTTTAGCCGATATTTTGAATAATTTTTTATTGAAGAAGACATAATTCATAACAATTAATTAAGACGTGTACTACATTCATTGAATCGTGAGGGTAAAAAAGTCGAAGAAGAATGAAAAATTTTCTAATCAAACTCTTACAAATTAAAAATAACTTGTACTCCATGCTTTCAACCATTTTTTGCCAGACTCGTTTTTCGAAAATATTTGATTTTCAATGTATCATTTGGTAAATGATATAATAGCGAATAATTAACATGACACAATTGATTTACAGTTAGTTGTATGTGAATAATCTGTGTAACCTTGCTCTCACAATAATAGGTGATGATGCGCAACCAATTGCACATGATGCAAACTGCGCTTCGTCTGAAGGAGCTGAATTGCTAGCATAAGCTACCAGATATTTCCCATCTCAAAAAACTTTTAGGCTTTTAATTATTTGTTAATTTTTCATTAAAATGTTTATTTATTCGTCATTAGTCTAATTATTTAATTATTATATTCAGCATTATTTAAAAAAAATTTAACTAAAATTATTTAAATAACACTTTTGTTTTCATTTTCCCCTTATTTTTAATTTTTTTAATTGCTTCCGAAAATTATTGCAAAAATAATAATCTTTAGATTAACTTTTAGACTGAAAACTTTAGAATAAAAAACATTGTAGTATCTTTTGTTCATATATGAAATTTCACTTGGAATAGGTGCATTTTGGAATTGCGGTGAGTTTGGTGCTCCAGTAGCTAAATGCCAGTCGAGTTGATCATCAGGTGGCGGAACATTTGCCCAGCAGCATGGCCGAGAATCAAAATCACACGACAAAGCTTCACCTAAAATGCTTGAGCGTTTCAAGTAAAACGCTATTTATTTAGCTTCCACTTAAATAGTTATTAATTATTGTGCACTGATAACATTTTAAATATGATGAGTAGAGCATTTTTGAGCATCATGCAAAGAAAAAAGGTTTGATTAACTAGATGAAAACTATGCATTAGAGTTGATAAAAGTACAGGACTGCTTAAATAATAATGTCAGTGATATAAAAGAAGAATTCAATAAAGGTTGCTCAGTTTTTTAAATTCTAAGAACAGCGAGAAATTTGATAGATGCAAAATGTAAACTATAGAAGCAAGACCTACTAGAAGAAATAAATACCTGAAGCAACTGGTCCACCTCCTTCAGCATTGTACCCGTTTGAATCAAATTCATGCAATGCTATTCTTGGTCCTAACAAACCTGAAAGTGAATATTTTTATGAAAAATATAAAATTATTCAATGTATAATTAATCTTTTATCAATTATTTTATTTAAATTGCTACAAAACAGTGCTCTATAGTATCGCTGAAAAATTGATATCATCAATGAATTTTTAATCTAATTTTATTCAGTTAACCTGCTCTATTTTTAAAATGTGCTTCATTACAAATCTTTTCACTTTTAATTTTTAGTGTGATTTAATTAATCAGTTGAACTTTTTAAATATATTTTGAAAACAGTTCTTTGCCAATTCAGTATAATTTGCTTTAAATGATTGAACTATTGCTGCTAACTGATGCTCTACACTTTAATGATAATAGATTTACAAATTAAGTAAAATCAGTTAGCAGTGAAAAAAATTTTCAAACAATCTTTTTATTATTTTACTTTTACCTACTCAAAGCACATAACTGGTTTTGCAATAACTTTTTAATCTTCAAGTTTTCGGCCAAAATAAATTTTTTAAAAACTTATTGGTAAACGTATAATGTTTTTATTAAACGATCAAAATAAGTGAGCAAGAACTGTTGGTCATATTGCACAATTCATGCATAAATAAAAGATTTACTAAAATTTTCAGTGTTATTACTATTTGAAAAAAATAATATTTTAAATAATTGTTAGATTTTGCAATATCTGAAGTCTATTTAAATTTATTGTCAATATGTAACTACTGCTATTTTCTTATAACTGCCCATATAATGCACTCGTTGAACATGAGTGAAATGAAGATTGATTTCATTATAAAATGACAATAATTTGAATTAATCTTTAGCAAGAATCTTCTGAAATGATCTGATAGAAAAACAAACTAACCGTTGAAAAGCCGCTGCTGTAGAACTGGTTCAATGGGTCCTCTGTTAGCAGCGGCAACTGCTGACCTAGCAACCTCACTGCCAATGGCATTAGGTGCTACTTGTTGAGGTGCTGCGACTTGTGCGACGCCTTGTGCTGCACTTAATGCTGTTTGCCCAGATGATGGGTCAAACTGCTGCACCCAAGATCCAGGGGCAAATGCTCGTGGTGTTGTACTTAAGCAGTTATCTCCTATAATGCTTAAATAGTTGCTGAGAATGAATTTAAAGTGTGAAAAGATTTAAGTAATAAAGTATCAAAGAAATTTATTGATGTATATATACATATATATGTAATAATTATTATTATTTTGATATATATTATTACTTGATTATTTGAATTATTTGATTTCAATTAATCACTTTGGCTATTAAAATTTGAAGTTTACAATTACGTTGCAGTTTTGCTGGCTTAGGTTGTTGATATAGATAAAAAAATTATATTCAACATCTATTCTCTTTGAAATTTGCCTTGCTCTAATAAAAGATTGGAAATTTTGTGGTTGTTGACAAGAAAGAGATTGGAATGTGTTTATTTGTATTAAGAGGTAGTATTAAAAAGAATAAAGTGAAATTTTATCATTACATCGGTCGTTCAGTAAAACTTCTTATTAACTAGTCATATTAATGGAAGATTCATGATGAACAAAGAATTCCATTTTAAGAATTGCTATTAGGTCAAAAAATTGAATCGCACCAATATTCGATTTTCGTTGGTTCTGAATGAATTCTGTTGTACAAAATGTAAATCCAAAAATATCTTTCATTCGAGAAAGAAAACCAGAAATTAATGAATGTTTCAATTAGATTAATCATAAATGAAGCATTTTTAATGAGAAAACAAGTTTCTTCAGAAAATTTTTTTAGTTTTGATTTCTGCAATTTACAAAAAAGTGATTATTTGAAACAAGGATTCACTGCTCTAATTTTCTCTTCATGTACAAATTTCATTTTTGCCACTGAAATTCTAATTTATACATACTTGTGAATAATTTTTATTGCACATACACATAGTAATTACTTTACTTTAAAGAAAAAAAGTGTTGCGGTCTTTGATTTTCTCAGTTTAGTGACAAATGTCTAATTTTTGCAATTGGGTTGAATAGTATAATTTGATTGAACAGCCTCATTTTTCCGCCATTTTTTCCTTTCGCCAAACAATTTAACATCAGCCAATATACATTCTTCCAGAACGATTTGCATATTTTGTCAGTAAACTAATTACAAAATATAGCCAAAGTTTTATCATGAACTATTACCCAACAAATTTTTGAAAAAAGCTCTAAATTATTAAAACAAACTATTCATTCCCGTAAATATTTATACTACAAATTTGTAAAAGTTAAATTCATTTTTCTAAGAAACTTAACGTAAAAAAATTTTTTCGTCCTAAAAGTGAACGATTTTTTTTCTGCTATGTACTTTTCAACTTTTTAAATGAAAGCTTATAATTTGTAAAATAAAAATATACTGATAATTATGACCAAAAGTAAATTTGAAAATAAGGTATTACACATAATTTTCAGCTCTTGAAAAATTTTTTGGCTCAAATTACGAAAATTTATTAATTTATTACAATTTATTTATGTAAAAATAAATTTTCAAATTTCAACAGCTCAAAATATTCAAGCAAAAAGTTAGATTTAAAGTGTGATCAAAATTTTCGATACAAAAAAAAAAATTACTGTTTATAAAAATTAATCATATCAGTGTAGATATCAATTTTCATTTTTTGATATTTATATAAATTAAAAATTGAAAAAGTGCAGTCATCAAAATTATGTTAACTGTTAGGCAAGAAAAGTAAACAATTTCAGTATAATCTTAAATTCACACAGCAGTTCGTTGGATGAGAACCAAAATACATATTTCATTAATCACTGGGCACAAATAAAATTATGAAGATAAGAGCACGATGACCTTTCAGTTGCTCGTAACTACACAATTAATATAATTTTAATGTCGTCATCGAATTTTTCGAATATTTTTAGTTATGACTTAAGCTATGCGGAATTTTATGATTGTGACACAAATTTTGGCTGTTATTTTCAAAAATTTTATCCAATCATCAGACTGTTTCTTTTAAATAATATTTACAAAAACACAAACCAAAAAAATCACAAAATTTTTTTTTCATAATTACTTTACAATGTCGAAAATGACCAGAAGCACTTGATTTGTATAGAGAAAAAGACAGTTTAGTTTTGAAAGCATAAATACAGTTTTTTGCCTCTCATAAAATGCATTTCGGAAAAGTAATAAGCACTGATTACACACGTTTTTCATAACAGTGACAAAAAATATTACTTTAGTAATGAGATTCATGGGTTCCAATAACATGATTACTTACGTGAAAATTATAATACTCCAAAATTTGATCTACAAAGAAAAGGAAGCAACAAAGTTGTTGAAGATATGTTATTGGACATTGAAAACACGTAATAAACTTTTAGTACTTTAGTATTTGCTTCATAAAAGCAATTTATATAAAAAATGACATTTAAAAATGATACAGCTATCTTAGGTATGTAACCCCAAAAAAACTTTTTTTTGTACCGATTCTTTTGCTTAATAATGCCAAAACATTGTCAATAAGCATTAAAAGTTATGAGAATTTTAATGACTTGCATGTGTTTGTCAACATTTTTTCAATTTTTGTTATATTTCAAAAAATTATTAAATTTGTTAGACGTGAAAATTTGTGTTTAATAAATTCTTAAATAGTAAGGCAACATTTATGCCACTCGAAGTTATGCATATTTCTGCAATATGATTTTCAAATATCTGAGCAAACTTGTGTTGACACAAAATATTGAGTAGTGAAATGCCCAGTAAAAAAATATGTTTTACTTCCGTTTTTACTCAAAAACAGATAGAACTTTTTTTTTTCCAATTTTTTATCTCCTTCATTCTATCTTTGAATAACTGAAGTAGAATGACAACATGGGAAATAATTTTATACAAATTAACTTCATGGATATTAAATTTAATTTCAGTTTTTGTTCGAACTGATTTTCATGCAACTGCTTGATTTTTCTCGCTAATATCAATATATTTTATTACTTACTTTGTAATTTCATTTTTTATTTTTAAATGTTGGTATGCGCAACAAAAAATTGCATAAATATGATTTCTTAATTGGCTAAGCAAGTACAATAACTAGTCAAATGAAATAAAATAGAACCAAGCCTTTAAGAAAACTAATATTTTTAGACTTATAAACTTGTATTACATACAAAATGATTTTCAGACATAGCTTTAATGATTTTTAATGTGTGAAAATGTCAAAATTGTTGCAGATACGGTTTTTAGTAAGTTGTTAATGTTTCCTCTATTCTGTTTTGAGAATAAAGTGCATACCAAATCGAAATAAGGCTGCTGTGAATGCAAAAATGAATTTGATGGATGGTAACATTTGTATCGTTTCAGAAGCAACAAAATACTATTACTGCAGATAATAAAGAATTAAAATAGCCAATGCTATTGGCAGTAAAGTACCAATGAACCTGCAAAATTGAAAATTCTCTATCATAGATTAGTTAAAATAAAAGCTTGTGCTATAATATATAAGTGATCTTTGTCACTTCAGCAATTAAAAATAAAAAATAAATAAAGTGCTTTTAAAAAGTAAAAGTTAGAATTAAATTGGTGGGGAAGTTAAGGTGTTGATAGGTTTCTTCAAATCCAACAAATCCAAATAATTTAAATAACAGAATAAATGAATGAATATTGTTGGATGCAGTAAAATACATTGGTAAAATATTGTACATGACACAAACTATAGTGATTCTTCCTTTATTCACTGCAATCATTTAATGGGTGTTAAAAATGTTTCCTACGAGCAAGAAGTGATTTTACTGGATAAGTGAATAAGTCAATAAACTTGATCAACGATGCAACCGAAGGAAGAATAATTTTTATGGTGTTTAGTAAGGATGAGTAGATGGTTGAAATTAGATTTTAATATTTCAAGATATGCATAGAAACATAAATTTATTCACAAATGAGACAAACTTGAGATAGGCCGGATTGAGAAACAAATGTCATGAGAATGACCAAATGAATCCCACTTCTTCTTCATCCAAGAAACAACGAAAATATTGGTTGTCACAGGATAGATCTCTCGCCTATGACCTCTTTCCTCTGTAACTACTACCTTTTGACCTAATTCAAGGAATCATCTCATGCTCGTGTCGGAAAAAATTTTTCCTTATGGTGCATATCAGTTGTATATCCTTATGTGTTGCGCAAATAAAGGTGCAACCACGTTTTAAATTCTTATGTACCCTCCTATAAAAAAGTGTAGATATTCAAAAACCTGAAACCTTTTTAGTGACACCCAATTTCAGTTACCTTCCCTTTTTTCCCGTTTGGCTTTCATTGTTTCTTATGTGCCATTTTTCATTTATATCTTCTCCTTCTTTTAAACATTTTCTTTGATTTTATCGCGATCATCAGATTTAAAGTCATTCAATTCATTCCTAAAATGAATTCTTGCTACATAGCAATGGATACTGTAGTCCTTTTCATACGCTCAAACATTTATTGAACAACTAAGAGCAATCATAAGCATTACTTTCTGCATTAACCATACTATCACGATTAAGAGAGATTAATAATAATTCAATAATTCAATTAAAGTTTAGCTAAATAATCATTCTTAAAATTTTTGAGCAGCTAATACGTGACCAAACGCTTCCTTCCACCTGCAGAATTAATTGATCCTGTTAATTAATTTATTCATTTCTGAATAAAAGAACTCTATTCTTTGAAAATTGCTAAAATAGTGCTAATAAGTATAGCTGATTTTAGCAATCACCTTATTTTCATTTAACAGTACGAGACTCAATCAGAGCAGTAAGAGCATTAATACACGTGTGCTTGACTTTATAGCTAGCCTTATTGAGGCTTGTTCTTCAATTGAAGACTCGTGTTTTGTCAATAAATTATTTGTAAAAAATACAAGAAAATTCTACATTCATCGTATTGATAATTTATATATTTCTTTCCACTTTAAATAAAGAAAAATCTATTAAATATATCAAAAGGAATCGAAGAAATGTATATTAGCCTAATTATTCATTTTGAATAATACTTTGAAAAATCTGCCACTTATTGCAAAACAGCTCAACTTTGATATAATATTCTTAAAATGAGTGTTAACAGTTACAAAGCAAATTCATTTAACTCAGAAACCCCAATTGATTCATTGTGTATAAAGATTTTCTTATTGTAAGCACAAAAATTTCAGATCTTTATCATTTTACATGGAATTAATACTAATAAAAAGTGAATTTATTCTAATCAAAAGCATATTTTTTCATTGTTAATATTCTAAAAAAATGAAAAATATGAATGAATATACTAATTTAAAATTGGGTCAGTACGAGCTTGTACTTCACGCAGTGCACTTTGAATTAACTATTTATTGCTTAATCTATTGGTTATGAGTTCTTTTTTCCAGTACGCGTTGGCCTTATTTTATATCCATTTAAAAAGCACAAACATTTCAAATTAGGAAGGATAAGAAAGCTTTAAAACGATTCGATTAATGAAGATACACTGCATCAAATGAATCATCATTTACTGCTTATTCGGTTTACAATTTTTGTGTGTAACATTCAATCATGACTGTGCAACAACAACTTGTACGGAATGCACTGTTCACTTCATTTCCCTTTTGTGTTGAATCAACGTTTTGTGTTTAGTTAATGAACTGATCACTAACAACTTTCTCTCGTAATGCATAACATAACCATTAATCATGCTGAAATGTCAGCACTTGTTTATAAAAATATTCATCTCTTTTACCTTATTTCCATTCTTTATTTCCTTCCAAAAACTTACCAAAATGTACCAATTGCAAGAAGATATGAAATATCACGTTTTTTCTATTTTCTATAACGAATAACAATTAGTGAGCAAACTTAGTGAAACTGCGGTTTAATATTCTAAGCTAAATACAGTTGCCAAATTTAGTGTATTTCAACCAAATTTCTTATTACCTTATTTTCATAACGTTGATGCCCTATAAAATAATTACTACCTCACGTTCTTCCGCACTTTCTTCATTAAAAATGAAGTAGTAAAAAAGCAACAACTGTGAAATGCATTACATGATGTAATGAAGTAACATAGTTTTGCAATAAATTTATCTCTTCTTTCCTACAGCCATTGCATAGTTGCTATTTTGATGTAAATAAATGAACTGTATATACTTGTAAAAGAGTAAGTATATTAGATGTACAAATGAGTGATGATTAAGACTGCAAGGATGACAACCTTTGCTTGCTTAGTTTGCATTGTGATTAGAGATCAGCATGTGGTATGAGAAACCATTCTGTGGTTGAAATTTTACCAAATAATGAATATTAAGTGTGGTAATTATAACATCTTTAACTGTAAATCACATCATTAATATGTTTCATTTCGTAGCTGAGTGGATTTTGTTCAAATAAAGCAGCACTCATGAACTTATTAGGTGCATGCGACGGAAATATTTTCATAGCTGTTCATTAGCTGAATATGATCAAGTCCAATTACATAATTTTTTTTCAAATTATCAGCCAGAAAATAAATCTGAAATTCAATGAATGAGTAAAATCAAATGTAAATATATCAAATGCAATTGTACATTAATTTGTGATTTTTTTCAGAAATAATCAGAAAGGAATAAATAGGGATCATAACTTCACCATATGGAGTCCACGTGATATATTTACGTAAACACTTATCCACTTGCTTGTTTTAACGCTGAGCTCTTTTCCAGTTCTTTCCATAAGGCATTTTTCGAAAGAATCTATACAAACACGTAAACGGCCATATTTACCAGCCATGTGTACATAAAAGTTAAGCCGTGATTCTTCTGTTATAAATACTTTTTGAGATGTACGCATTAGAAATATTATTCCTGGATTATTAGTTTCACCAGCATATACAAACCAACCATCTGAATAAAAGTTATTAAAAAATATTCTCATTTGTAGTAGAAAAAATATCTACACTCAACTGCTACAAAAGAAGCGTAGTTCTTATTTAAATTATGTAATTCATACCGCCATTGATATCACTCCATATACCAGTGAGAGAATTTGCAACTTTATGATTTGAAAGCTTCCATTTCTGCAGTTCAATATTTGAAGGCAGATCTGTAATGTAATACAAACAAAGAAACAGCTTGTTTACTATCATAATAAACACAAGTTTTGACAAATACTATACATCAGAAATGTGCACGAAGAAAAATACCGAGCAAAAGATCCTCATCTTCTTGAAACTTGTCGTCAGTCTGGTAATGACACATATTAGCATCATCAAATGAGCAGTCAATGAATGGACAACGAGAAATAAGTCGAATATTTCTATTATGATTGAGCAACCATTCTGTTTTTGGTTTTCTCAGTGTCGGTGAAGCACGCAAGGGAAACAATCTATTCTTTATATTAAGTAATTGAAATTGAAACTGATTGAAAATTATCTTAACAAATTATAAATAAAGTTAAACAATTAAATGTATCAACTTTTAATCATATGAACTTACTGACCTTCTTGACTGACTACCTGTAAAACTCTTGTTAACTGAATCAATTCCATCAACATTACTGACATCAAAACCATTCAGAGGATCTAAAAATTTTTTATTTACCAATTTGAGAAAAAAACTTTTCAATTCAAATACAGTGTTTCTTCCATCAAAAAAACGTATGTAATTGTATGCGGATTAAGATAAAAATTTAATTAAAAGCAATTAAGACAATTTTTTTTATCAGCAAACTCAATGTTGGTAAATAAGCTAAAAGATTGCTGATAAGCAAAAATTGTCTTAAAATTACCTAAGTCTTAAAAATTGTCTTAATTTGTCATTTTTTCTTTCACCTACCCTTTTTTCTCCATTACTTACTACCTCAAATTAAAAAGTCACACCTTTCAAACCGAAAAAAGAATAGTTGCCACCAGCACCCTCAGCTGATCGAGAATTGATGTTTTCTAAAACCAGAAATTTATTATTTGCTAATAAGAAATCTTTACGTATTCTTGACAGTAGATTGTAAATGAAGAAACTGATCTAAAAGCAAATTATTGGAGAGGAATGAATAAAGTATATTCATAGTTAGCTCGAAAAAACCAAATGAAAAAGAAGATATTCGACAACAGACAGTAAAAGAAATAGATAAATTGATAAATTAGGATTTCAGTTCCAAAAAAGATTGAAAAATTGAATGTAAAATGGCATAAATTAGTTGTCTAAAAATAAGAAGATCAAATCACCGACGAAATGCCTTGTTCACTTGTTCTTAATTCCAAACCATAGTTTATCACTTAGTACTATCTAATTATTAGTTGTAGCATGTTGTTGGTTGCCACATTTTACTACTGTTTCATACAACATTATTTTGGTTTTTAATCACTTTTAATTACTGTGATTCCTTTACATTCCCAAATCTAATATTCTTGGAATCAGTGTACAAAGTTCATCGTATTCTATATACATTTTTCTGGATCTTGTTCATTTTCAGAACTTCCGGTTTATTTTTTTTGTTAAAGAATTTGTTCCCAATTTTAATTGAATTCTGTTGCTCTAAATTCTTTATATCCATTCCATAATTTTGTGGCGATTCAACGTAATTTGCATTTTAATTAGTTCTTAATAAATGAGATGCATCCATAAACTTTAAAATACTTGTCAATGCTGGAAATATGAAGGGAGCAAATTTTCCAACCAAATTGTTAAATGCTTGCTCTGATTCTTTGCTCAATTTTGATTTAGATTCAACTGAGAGTAATCGGCATTTACCAGTGGCACTGTTACAGATTTGGGACCAATTTTTTCAGCACTCTTTTCATCGGTAATATTTCGTTTCAACTCATTGTTATTATCTTCCTTCACTGATAAGTTGGGAGATTCTGTCGCGACTACCAGCATTATAGGATGTTTTATATCGCGAGAATCTTTTAAAATTACCCAATCGTCATAGCTAATTAGTGGTAGCACAGTTAAAAACGGTGTAAAGTGAAAATTGTTGGAAGAAAATGACGATTTTTTTGCGTATTTTCAACATTACGTTTTAAACGTATTGACTGGTAGATACTAAATATGTGATGGACGACACTATTAATCTTCAGCTTACTAATTATTCGATTGCTTCTCTTTTCTGTAATGTTCGCTTTGAATATCAAATGCAGTCAAAATTCTGATTGTTCTTCTACAATCCACTAAATAATCAAATGAATATGATTTGTAATGAATCCGATGATGACAAAAATGCATCTGCTTTTCAACGTGCAGCTGTTTTAAATTCTTGTAAGAAATCCATTTTCATTGTCGGTGATTTTTGTTCCCACACCATCTGTTTTGAACTTCTTATTAGTTATTAAGTACATCACTATTGTATGCCTATAAATAAATTTTTTCCATTTTATCTTTTTACAGAATTGTTTTTAAGAAGTTCAAATTTACCACAAAGTGTAGCGTCGTAAGAAATGTCATCGATAGCTATTATATCAAGTGGTTGCGTAAAGTATGAACGAATCAACAGCTAAAAGAATCTATTTTAAATTGTTTAAAAGAATGCAAATGAACGCTGTCATACTTCGAGTAAACTGCTCATAAGCTCATTTTGATTGGTTTCTGTATTCTGATAAATAATTACAAGCACTCATGACTGTGTAATTAATAAAATAAAGTGATCAAGTTACTCAGCTGTTTCTCATGAAATTTAATTAAATTCAAGAATTTCTTGGCTTATTTTCTTCATCAATTGAAAAACTATAACACAAACTGTAATTATAAAGGTCAGGTATCAGTGAAATTTATTATTTCATATTCTAATAGTATTTACCTCAAATGGCTGCGTAAGAGGTGGAAACTCAACAACATTGAATAACCACTGATGGGCATGATGCTTGAGAATTACAGGAAAGCATCGTGTGTCTAAAACTACTGAACCACCTGGTGGCTGAAGTATACATACTTCTAGTGTAGCTGAGTTACCCGTGTGATAGTACCAGAATGTTAACGTACTACCGCCCAATTGGCACCTTCAACAATTTTAATATGCAATGCTTAACCCAGTGATTGACTCACAATTGGTTTATTTCAGTAATTTGTCGTAAAATAAAAATTTTTATAGACCGAAAAACCTTATAATGTCGCTGACTAAACTTGCTTTTTGCATTCCATTGAAAAATCCATGTGTGTATGCAAATACCTCATCTATAATAAGACATTAAAAGCAGAAGTAAAAAATGTGCAGTTTCCTGGTGGTAAACAATAAGATATACTTATAGCAAATATTGTTTTCGTGATCGATAATTTAAAAGTTAATTCTGTTCACTTTTTCCAATATTATTTTAAAGTAAATTTAAAATGTAAATGAAGGACAAATTAAAAAAAAATAAGAATCTGCTAAATTTCAAACGTTGTTTTATTGATTTTTAAGATGAAAATATTCAAATTAGATAGCTTTAGGAGTTTATCAGAAAGAATTTGGAACAATGTTAATGGTTTCTTTATATATTTAAACTTGCGAAATAATTACAATCAAAATAAGTTTTAAATTGTGAGCTTAAGCATCTTTTAAAAACTTATATAAGAAATTAATTGGAACAAACTTGCCTGAATTATTTTTTGAAGGAATTATGGTAAAAAGATCTTCTATTTTGACACTCTGTGCTATCAGAAAATCACCGCTATCATCACTTGCAGTAACATTACGCCACCTACACGTTGATTGAAATCCACAGTTTAAATCAGTAGATGTGTTTATTTCACTTCCTGCTAAAAATAGCAATTATTTCTTTTTTAAAATTGTATTAGACTAATTCAGCTAAGCATTTTGTTTCTTACAAATCATTTTTCAAACCAAATTTAAGCTTAAAGCAACATAAAATAGAATCAAATTATTCTTCATATGTTTTATTCCATTTTGACAAAAAAATAAAGTGCTAACCTCTAGATAGTAAGTTTACGAGATATAAAACCACAATTAACCAAATATTATTCATGGATTTCACACCAACATTAATACTTAATTTAATTTGATTTGATGGAAGAAATCTTTATCGTTGCACAGTTCAAAACACTTTAGTAGCGCTGAAAAAGTAAGAAAAAGAAAGCCTAAAAAACAACTGTTTAGATTTGCAAACAAAACTGGCAGTGCAAATTAATTTACTGGTTAATTTTTAATTTAGCAGCAGTATACAGCTAGAATGCAGTTTTTCTAAGCTTTCAAATCTTTGGAAATTACAAAAGAAAATTTATGAAGTAAATTGTAAAAGAAAAATGTTTTTAGATTGTAAAGAGAAAAAACTGATTAACATTGTTAAATGACAAGACCGAAATTTGCTCAGATTTTTAATAAAATCAACAAAAAATGACGAAAAAACGAAAGAGAATATAAGATGGATTTTGGAAAGAAAGTTTTATGAAGAAATAATTGGTTGTATTCAGAATTTGTAAAATTGAGAGCATGACCTAGTAGAACACGCTAAAAAGGCTGGTCATAATTATGAATTTGAAGTGAAGTATTACTTAACTGCTGAACTTTTGCAAAATTGCTGGTACTTCTCTCAAATTATTTAGACAAGCTATTCTTTACTTTAATATGATTATTGACTTTATGCATTATAACCTGATCACCAATCATCAGTTCAATCTTACTTTATATTCAAATGTAAGGATCACTCATCTTGTTGTTGTTAGTTCACTAATTGACATTCAATTTAAAAAAATATGAAAAATATTCTAAGAAATGTTAAGGAAATTGATTTAACATTCCAAGTATTATCAATTTTGAACATATCAAAATTAATATATTTTAATACTTGAACACAATATTTTTCATATGAATACATTAATGTTAATGACTGCACTCACTGAAACTGAAAAGTTGAAAAAATTCAGCAATAAATTTTGGGACATATTAATTTTTTTTATTTCTTATAGGAGACACACTTGATCAAATATGACATTCAGCGGTATTTGCTGCAAAAAACTTTTTGGTGGGTCAAGATCTTGGGTAAAAAATGTCATTTGAGTATCTTGCTCAAATGGATATTGTTTTATCATATTATTCTAACATTGTTCTGGTTATTCTTGTAACCTTACAGATTTTTCTTCGGTAAATTTGCCTTTTAAAAAATTCCCAATCGCCTTATTTGTTTGAGAAATTTTTTATCCATTTTATTTTTGGGTTAAATCAAAGAAAATACAACTTGCTAAAAGACTAATAATAGTTAAAACAAATGAGGAGTACTTTTTTATTGCAGTCAAACAGTCTTTGGAACAAACAGCATTATTCGTTTCATTATCAGATATTATGAATACACAGCGAGGTTCATATGATCCAAGTGACCCTGTTACAGTCAGTTTTTTAGTTTCCAGTTAAATTGCTTGAATTTGAATATTAATCTTAAAAGAGTTAACTTTTTATACTTTGCAAAATTTAAAATTAAACTTGCAACTTTGTTTTGCACTTTTTATAAACACAAACGGCTGAATTAACGCTTTTATATAAAGTTGTTTGCGCCTGCAATAAACGATATATATATAATACTTTCGTCTAAGTTTTTCGCCTATATATATATATATATAAGCTACTAGCAGATACTAAAAATTTTCTATACATTCAAATCATGTCTTAGAAGAAATTTCCTCAAATATATCCATGCCACTAATTTATTTAACCATGTCATGTGATACCCATATATTTAGCCATATAAGACAGTGCTTCCGGTATCTATAAAAAGCACAGATGGAAAGTCATCACAATACAATCAGCGACCAGACGCTGTTAGTGGATCTCTTGGAATTGACAGGCATTTTAATTTTATTATCACTGACATTTTTATATTTAACATAAGAAGTCAGTTTTCACTTCCTTATATTTTATTTAATAATTGACTTGATAAGGGTAACTAACTACTACATACTGCAATTTATTTAGAGAAGCTTGAAATTATTTGGTTATAAAGTTTACTTTTTTAAAGTATAGAAAATCATTTCTTGAAGTCCTTAATATGAAAATTTTTATAATTTTTTTACTACCTTAATATTGGAAAAGCAAATATACAATAACATTAATACCAATTCTGTTAGATTGCATCAAATCAATTACTTCAGTTTTAGGGACAGTAAAAATAAAAAACTTTGTATGGATTTCTTTTTGATCGTAGAAAGTGTGAAGGAAAACTTGGCTCAAAGAAGATATTGTTCATGGTTGAATAATGTTTCACCATTTGTCTTTTTTGTTGGAGTAGTGATATTGGTGGCTATTTTAATCATTCTACCATTCTTGATTGCATTCCTTATCATGCGTGCATATGTAATATTTTTAACCTTATATTTCATATTTTAAATTTTATTGAGATTTGAAATGAATTAAAATGAAGTCATGATTCATCATATTCTTGAGTTTAGTCATCAACAACACTGAATGGTACAGAAACGATGGAAGTTGTAAGAACGCACTTTAATTGGCCTGATTACCAAACTTATTCTCAAATCGCATCTATTAAATCTCTGATTCCACCAAATATTACAATATGCAAGGGATATGGATTTTCATGTACCAATGTACCGGTGAGCATTATTTGTACATAAAAGTCGTTACTCGTTGATAGCTGGAAAAAATGTAAAAATAACGCAAAGCAGTTATGAACAAGCAATTAAAATTTATAGGTGATCAAATATGATTTAAAATTTCCTCATTTCAGAGTTTGGTCGTTGCAACACTTCAGAGATGTGATGGAGTGGAAGACTGTCCTGATGGAAGTGACGAGACAGGATGTAAATGTAATCTTTTTAGTTACAATAACTGTTTTACATGGCAATTTGTAGATCAAATTTTTCCTAAATTTTAAATATGACAGATTTTTTTCTCAAAGTAGCAAAAGGATTTTAGTATGTCATACAACAATAAACTGCTCCAGCACAACTTACGGTGTTCTTTCCTCAAAGTATTCAATATGTCTACGTGGAAATCGTTTATGTGATGGAAACATTGACTGTCCAGATGGCACTGACGAAAAGCATTACTGTAGTAAGTTGAGATCAAAAATACTGGTGGGTGTCTGATAACTCCTTCTTTTTTAGAAGTGATTTTAGGATGATTTGACGATTTGAGTGAGGAAGGTTACAGAAACCAAATGCTCCGAAGATGAGATGCAATGTGGTAAAGATGGTATCTGCTTGAGTCGAGAACAGTTTTGTGACGGTGACGTGCACTGTAAATATGGAGAGGACGAGGAAAATTGTAATGGTAAATGTCGTGAGGGTGCGCTTTGGTGTGAAGATAATGGAAAATGCATACCTAAATGGCAACTCTGCGATGGTATTCGAAATTGTCCTAATGGAGAAGATGAAATGGTATGATTTAAATGAGACATTGAGTGCTTATTTGATATTCCGTAACTTTTGCTATCAGTTCGGTTAATGCGTATTTGGTACAGAATCGTTTATTTTTTTAATTATGTAAAGCAAAAAGGTATCTTTGATTTGCTTTAATTTGATGCGTTTTGGTTATTCTGTCATGAATATTTTTATCTTTCAGTCCATGTTCAAATGAGTAGTAATTTTATTACCACAAGCTATGTAAATGATAAGATGCTGAGATCAAATTCTATCCTTCAATTCAGCCGTTTCAGAGGTGCACATGTAAAGAGTGTTCAGGGATTGGTAAAGCTCTCTGCCATAATAGTAATGTCTGCATTGAGTATTCGCAAATTTGTGATGGATATGATAACTGCCCCGGAGGAGATGATGAAGTGAACTGTCCTGGGATTTGCTCAGATAAATCCATTGAGGTTTGTATGAATCCCAAAAATTTTTGATCTCTTCAATGTAACAACTTTCATCGAAGTAATGTACAAAAAAAATTTAAAAATTCATTCATACTTATAGAATTCAGACTATTCCTAGATAGATCAATTATATAGTATTTAGGATGTTGATTTTATTCGATGCCGAGATGGTCAAAAATATCACAAGAAATATGCATGTAGTGGCATTCTCAACATGTGTGAAGGAAAGTGTAGTCAATGCACTGAAGAGGTGGCATTCACATGCAAAAACCATAGATGCATTCAAAAGAATTTGGTTTGTTTGCGGTGTATTTTAATGAAACAAAGTACTTGATTGCAGATAACACTTGCATCATTTTTTTTAATGGCACTTAAGGTTTGCGATGGCGTAGATGACTGTGGTGACAATTCAGATGAGCTGAATTGCAAGTGCAATGATATGGAGCAAAAAGGAAAAATGCAGTGTAAAGCATACTCTCGTGGTGGAACTCTTAAATGCATTCTATTGGTAAGATTGTCCATAAGAAATAACTTTCGGTTGATTAACTCTATAAATATTCATTCATGCATATTTTAAGGCTCAACGATGTGATGGTTACAAAGACTGTCCAGATGGAGAAGATGAAAAAGAATGTGACAAGTGTAACGGTTCGAATGCTATTTACTGTGAACCATTAAAAACGTGCTTGGATATTACAAAACGTTGTGATGGTCTTGCCGACTGTCCAAATGGTATAGACGAAGAGCAGTGTAGCTGCGCAGGCAATTATTTTATTAATTGAATGCATGAAACACATTATCTTCTAAACATATCTTCTTAAAAGAATCTTCAATTCACAATAGATTTGCATCATTAAACTAAAAAATATTTTGCTGCTAAAATTAAATGTTTTTATTAGACTAAAGAGCTTTTAAATTTTGGTATATTTCAGAATGCAAAATGCATGGATTTCCTATGTATATGTGCACAAATGCAGCAAAATGCTTTAGAAGACATGAAGTATGCAATCCGTATACACGATGTCCAAATGCTGCAAAAGTTGACCAGTTGTTTTGTGCTAATAAAGTTTTTTTATCAGGAAGCAAGAAGCTTTAGATGAGATTAAGTAATAGTTTCGATGATGGTCATATTTGTTGAAAACATATACAATTTGTTCTGAGTGCCATTTTTTAGCTGTATAAAAAGAATAATAAGATTATAAATCGTTCCTGACTTGCGCTTTTGACTTATCATAACTGTAATATGTTTTTCATGTTTTTGTGATTAAATTCATTGTTTTTTTAGTTCTTTACGCATCTATCCTTCATTAGTCAGAAGAGTGTCATATAAGTTTTTCTTGAGCGAAAATGTAGATACTTAAATGTGATTTTCAATTTGATTTAAATGGGAGGAAGACGCCAGTTTGCACATTACATTCAAAGTAGTGGTGGATTGTCCCACTTTTCTTCTCCAATGTGGGGTTGTTTTGTTTTGAGTGTTATAAGCTCTACACGTAATCACCAGAATCATGGTTACTGGGGTCAAATTTCATCAGCAATGTTTAATTTTACTTTTAAAATGATTTTGTAATTGCAGTAACATTTACTACCATATCACCACATTCAAACTGCAATAGTGGGTAAATGTCATCTTCCCGAAGTTAATAGGTACCGGCGCTATTTGATTTGAGAGCTCAAATTTGAAGAATTATGATCCTCAAATCCATAAGCACTTCTTGCTCCAATAATGTATCTGCCATAGTGTGCTTCACATATACGACAGTTACTTATTGGAAAAAAAGAGATAAATCTTAAAAAGCGTCTAACAGCATGAGTAAAAACATCAATACTATTTTTTGCGTAAGTTCTGGATGCATTCAGTTTAACTGGATTCTATTTTTTCTTTCCATTGGAGCTGAAATTGAACTTAAAGAAGGTTGCGGTATTGCTTGATGAAAATCCTCATTTTTTGTCCACAGTGCTGGCTCAGCTGAGCACATCAAACCTGGAAATACCCTTACTTAAAATATATTTACATTACAGAAGAATGAATTGTTGTCATAACATTTATAAATTTTTGAGCTTCATAAGAATTCGAAAAATTTGCTTCTTTTTAATTCCGTAAATTGGAAACTGGCCATGCAGTTACTAGCAACTAATATCAGCAGTAAAAGAAACATTTAAGGAAATTTTCTGCAAGAAGTAATGATTTACAAAATATGCCATTTGTTATGAGTAAAGTAGCAGCCGTAGCGAGGAATACTTTCTGCCACCCTACAATATCGTTAGCTGGTGCAAGTCCCCAAACCATTACTGGCACTATGAGCATTGTTATAGTTATTCCTGTAATTTTATCACTGTTTGAGAACAATCTATTCAGTTAACATATTATCAAATCATAATTCCCTGATAGTTTTAGATTTTAAGAAGTTAATGCCATGTATCATATGCTTTTAGTACTCTAGAAAAATCTTTTAGTTTGAATGTCATATTTAATTTTTTTAGAGATAATGTAGTTGGATTGATTTTCAATTCTTTTTACTAATTTTTTTGCATAGCTATATTTAATGCATATATAATTCAGACTGTTCAGCTTTCAAAAAAAAAGTTTCTGAAAAATTTTAAAGACATGTTTTTAATCGGTAAGAAAATGATCAATTTTCACATATTTCCTATAAAAGTAGAAATATCGGAATTTCACTTGATAAGAAAATTAAATAAATCAAACCTAATGAAACATTCCCTGTGACAAAGGGACTAAATTGTCTAGATACAAGTGGAGCTGCTTTGAAGAAACCACCAGTTGTAAAACCAAGAAAGCCAGCTGCAAGTCCAAGACAGGCAGTAGCCAAAAAACCTTGAGATGCCGGAATAAATGACAAAATTGATAAGAATATTGCACATCCTACAAATGCTATCGAATTATATGCTCGCAACTTTCCAGTTTCCGATAAGCATTTGATCTAAACATGATGGATTCAAAAAAAATTATATCTTTATTTATAAATGCTTGAATTTCTTGAAATAAATGATTGTTGTTTTACACTCTTAAAAACAACTCTTCTGATCGCATCACCACTGCGCAAAATAACAACGGTATTATCTATTGCCAAAGTTTGAACTGAATGTTTGTAGATGAGATTTACAATGACTTAATATATCCATTCTTACTATTATACATCTGATTAGCTAATATTTTAAGCAAATGTGCAAGTCAACTTTCCTATAACTCTTTCGAACATAGCGGTTTATCACGGTATTATCAATGTTCTACGCAAAAATCAACTCTAAGAATTCTAAAATATAAAGGCCTGATTTTTTAGATGTGGTTAGTTTTGAAAACTTGCATAACTCACTTTATCAGAAGAAAAACCAGCGGCAACTTTAATAATGAATTGTAGCAACGGTGGAGCCGCAGCAGCAATGCCAGTACCGGCCATTGGCATCCCAAGTACACCATGTAGGTAATTTGGTGAGTATAGAAAAAGCATATTCACGCAAGTGAAATTTCCCACAGCAGCGATCCATACAGCCCATACTGATCCTGTTTTTAGGATACCATAATAAGGTACACGAGTTATTTCACCTTTTGAACATTCTGTCTTGCCTACAGCAATCTTTTGTCGCTCTTTTGCATTGACAAACGGATGCTTGTAAGGACTGCAATAATCTCTGTCAAGCACTATTTTTTAGAGAATGAAAGCAATCATTCAGAAAATAAAAAAACTAAGAGTGATACATCTATCATTTTAAAGCTTAACGTTTCATGCATAAAGAAAGCTTAGCATTCTGATAAAGTGTCAGAAAAACTTCAACAACCTGTTTCTGTAAAAAATGACAAAGATAATGAATAATAATAGGGATGCAACACCATGTACGTAGCATACAGAAGGCCAAGACAGTGTAGAAGAGCACAGTGCGCCACTGAGAGGCATTGTTAAGGCTGGTGAAAGTTGCAAATATGCAACGAGAATACTAACAAACAGGCCATTCTGTTTATAGTAAGTCCAGTGAGATGTAAACGCTCCAATCACCGGAAAACTGCTAGCCAAAGCAATGCCTATAATGAATATGGAAAAAGCTAGGAAGAATGATTTACTTATTTTTATAAAATGCTTACTTTAGATTCACTATTTTCATTCATAAAGAAAAATTAATGCCTTAAAAAATGTTTTTATTTTATTTTTTATTTCTGCTATTCAAATTTAAACAATCAATTATTTGTGCATTAGGAGCAATTCCAAATAAAAACCATTCGGTATCAATTAAGATTGATCTAAAAAATCTTAAATGAGTAAAATGCTTGATAACCTTGCAAGATACGTGCTCCTAAAGAATAGTAATATCCATGCATAATAGCTAAAGGTAAAATGCAGGTAGCTAAAGAAGAAAGCACTCCAAGTATTGTGAAAATGTATCGAATTCCAAAACGATTTACTAGCCATACTAAAGGGAAATTTGCTACTAAAGTAGCTCCAGCAACAGCTGATGTCAAGTACGTGCGTTGCTGTGGCGTGAACAATGCCGAATCACAGTCATTACTGTGAGGCACTTCCGCCGTAGTTGTAAATAAATTTGGATCGGCGCTCGTATTGTAAGTAATCAGTGTATCATTTTTATTATTCATGCATACAATTACAAAATTGAATGCTATGACATTAGACCATATCGAAGCCAGACACAATAAAACCAGTATCACCAATATGAATCTGAAATTTATTGCAACGTTATGTAATAAAGTTACGTAAACAAAATCAGTAAGAGTTTTTTTTTCATGATTAAAATAATGCACTTTTTTGAATATCTTTTAAAATCTTCAAATTAATAGTGCAAAATAAGCACTCTAAATATTATTTTATTTCTATTTATCATTGATGTATATCATTTCAATCAATTTTATAGTATTGATATTAGATTTGTAAAGAACTCGAAGATTCCTCAATAAAAATGTCAGGAAAAAGTAAAACTTTGAAAACTTGCCTGATTCTGGTGTGAAAGAGATTCAAACAAGCAAGAGTGAAATTGCCTTCTTCTCTTGTTTTAATATGATTTCTATCTTTATAAACATCAATATCAGTGCTTACACTATTACTTCGGGGTGCAATGGGATAAACGGCATTATCTTTATTAATTATAATAGGAATGCTTTTTAAGATGGTAAATTCCTCTTCACTTGTCAACATTGTTATCAGACCTCAAAAACTTATTTTGTGTAGCATCTACAGTTCACTTCTAACAGATAAAAATAAATACGAATTATTTTAGAAGAAATGCATTTTAGATGCCCATGTTAGCAAATTTTTCTTTAGATAATAATTTTTATTTAGGTAGGAATTTCTATTATTACTCCTCCCGTTTTATTTTCAAAATTGACAGTCTTTAGTTGTTCAAAATAATAATTGTCAAAATAATCTTCCAAGACAAACTATATTAGTCTGTTGAGAAAAAATTTGCTCTTTTTAAATTTTTATCCAGTATTTTCCATTTTTTCTGTACACACAAATTAGCAATTTTTATGAATTTCTGTCAAAAAATATTTAAAAATTATTCCTATGAATGACATCCATACTAAGCAAAGTTAAAGAAATGTAGTATTATCGAAATCAAAAATTATGCTAGTAAAATAGCGATACTTAAAATTATGATTAATTGTGTTTTAGGAGTTTTAAGTAAATAAAAATAACTAAAATTTATTAAACAGAAATAATTAGATAATTGTTAGAATGCTTCCAAAAGAAATGAATGATTATAATACCGCATGCAAAAATATGTTGTACAATTTAAATTTTAATAACTCTAGCAATTGTAACTCAAAATATTTCGCTTTCAAACTTTTCACTACATACATATCCACATAACTCAAATGTAAATAACTGTAACGCTACATTTATAAATTCTAAACAAATGGTGACTTTTGGTCTTCCTTGGCATCTTTTTGATGAGGCAAGGTATAAAAAATTCTAATGATTCTATAAGTAAACAAAACTGCTTGTAAATGGAAATATTTTAACTTGCAGTATGATTAAAAGAAGCAAAACATGAGCAAAGACCACTGCAATCTGCAATAAAAAAAAATGAAAATCTTTAAAACTATTTCTTGTCGCCGTACAAATAATGAACAGAAACGTAATTCTTTCCTTTCATTTCTCAAAAAGCCTTTAGCTGCTAAAAATCCTGGAGTGAACTAATATACTGTACTAGATTCAGAATCATAACCCAGACTGTCTCATTTAAAACGTTTTAAAGTAAAGATAAAATTCAAAACGCGTGTGTGCTCTACCGGTTTAATTCATGTTGTGTAATTTATGCAAAAAATTTGAATTCTTAATTTTTTTCAATAAAACAGTGCCACATCGAAATAACTTATATTAACACTTTACTATAAAAGAAATTTCTATCTTACATTTTGATGAACTCAAAAAGTAAATAAATATATATATATATATAAATTTTGATAATTCCAATAAAGAATTTACAAAAACTTTTTGAGTTCATCAAAATGTAAGATAGAAATTTCTTTCATAGTAATGTGTTAATATAAGTTATTTCAATGCGGCACTGTTACATATATATATATGGATGTTTAATCTTTTGCTTTATTGATTCTGGCGCTGGATCGTATTCCGGTACTCTGGCTGTACTTGCCCGGAGTTCACATTTGTTGTGCTTATATAATATATATAACTGTGATTTTAAGAAATTTTGAATTCATCAAGAGAATGTAAACATTCTTAGCGGTCTGATTCCATAAATAGCCACCGTTCAATCAGCGTAGGTATTACGATGCAATTATGCTCTACATGAACTAAATAATTGACATGGTAATGAAATATTAATTATAGTGATCATTTACGATAATAATTTAGTATTCAGAAAAATTTGTGGAAACGAAGCACCTTCAGAATTCTTTTTCCCTCAAATTCTACTTTCATGATTCAAGTGAAAATAAGACTGAATAACTAGTATGAAGCACTCATCCTTAAACCACTTTGATGACTGTTTTTTCTTGAGTCACTGAATAACAGTGAATCAAACACCTTTTCAAAGACCAGTTTAATATCAGTACTAGCAAACAAATTTAAAAATTACTGTCATGAAAATGGATGATTCTATTATCCAGATTTAGATGGTTTGATCTATGATTATGTTACTTGAATACATGTGTGTAGAAAGAGTAGTATCAGATGATGCAACTTCATTTTGAGCCCTTAGGTCTCAATCATAGCAAATCTTGTAGATTACAATCAGCTATTCGACTGTTTAGTACTGCAGTGTACAATACTTTGCAATCAAAGATTTATTCGTTATTCACGAATAGATGAACGATCAACCCATGCATTAGTGTTTCTGCAGTCTTGCTGAGCTTATCAGATATGTCCACCCAATGGTCCCACCCCAAAATCACATCCTCCTTATATTTTACACGTAAGCTACTTGACTAATGAAACCCAATAAATCACCACGTGCTTCCCGAAAAATTCAATTACAGTATGAATTTGGCAGTCTAATTTCAACTCATGTCCTCTTCAAACTTGTGCAGTACACAGATCGCAATAAGGTTTTTATAGTGAACCAGCGGAAAGATGGCATAGCGTAATAAACAATTATCAATTCAACTTTATTCAAATACAAGCAATTGCTGAGATAATGATATTTCAGTGGCAAGAAAAAAGTTTGAGAAGTAGAACAGGGCAACAAGCAACAATAACATCCAGCTAAAACAAAAAGCACTTTGTTTCCTACATGGAAAATAAAGAAGACCTCATCAGTACAAACTTTACTGATATCATCCAGCCTCTACTTTCAATTTAAATTTAAGGCCATTCAAGTAATTAAAAAATACCAAAGAAACAAGTACTGAACCAAGCACCTAATATTCTGCAATTGGTAACGATCGAGGCGTTCTTGGAGTGTGCACTCAAACTTTGTTCAATTATACAATACGAAATGTCTTATCCATCTTAGATAAACAACACGACACTGAGAAATAGTCCCATGTGCATGCAATAATTCGTGGAAAACATTTGAAATCCCAAAATCTGCAAATGAACATGCTGAAATAGAAAAATTACCGTACTCAGGACTCGCTCCCTACTTTTCTTACCGAAAATGACATTAAATAGGTAAAATAAACATTCACTAAACACGTGAAAGCAGTCAACTCCGGCACAAAAACTACGCAGAAGAAAAAAAATACTTGGAAATATGCGTTATATTTCCTCTGCGATTAATAAATTTGCTGCAGTGATGAATCGGACTTCGACTTTGCACGATTTTAACCATTTGTATTTAAATATAACATAGCTTCTGAAAAGTAAAACTAAACCAAGAACTGCAATCACAAGCAAAATTGATAGCAAAAACAAATGTGGTTCACAACATTAAAATTTTTTTGTTCTAATCATGCAAAAATATTGCACACAAGTTTCAGACGCATACATTTCAATGCTAGAATTCGTGAAAAAAAAAAGAAAGGAAGAAAGAAGAGAAAAGAAAAGAAAAAACGGTATAGAAAATATATAAATGTGAAAAACTCAAGAAACAGTCATAACAAAAATTTCTGAATCAACAAACTTTCATGACATTATAAAATTAACAAATACTATTATACACAATAATTTATTTTCAAATAACTGAAAGTGTACTTTATACTCAACTTCGACACAACATTATTCAAAATAACTATGAACTCTAGTCACGATCTTAGGCAGAACAGAATAACTTCAGCATATAGTAGTTAAATTAACGACTACGCAAAACACAGAAAATTTTATTTACCACATAAATCTTTGTAATTTAGTGTTCCAGACATTTTCCTAGCTCTTACTTATCATACATCCTACACTTACAACAAAACAATTGTCTAATTGCTATTCAATTCTTCCAACAATTTTCGCTCCTGCTGAAGACTTTGTAAAGTACGCTGGTATTCCGTTAAATTTTCCTCTGAATGCTCAGTTAGTACCGACAGTTTTCCAGAATGGATCTCTTCGTCAGTCCTTCTATTTTGTTGCACTGAAATCCAAATTTGAAACACTCATTCTCAAAAAAAAAAACTTTCTACAGTTATCATTTTATTATTTCATTTGTTGTCAAAAAATACCTGTTTTTTCCGCGAATTTCTTATGTTTACAATAGCGGATGACGGGAATGAGACACGAAACCAAACCAGACATCAATATAATCACACCAGCAAAATAAAATGATGCATCATAAGATGTGAACAAATCGTATACAATTCCTGTATGTTTTTTAACGTCAAATCCAGGGCACATGGAAAATAAATTAGGAAATTCCAAATCCAAATATTTCCAACCTACCAGCAAGTGGAGTTCCTAATAACGACGCTATACCTCTGCTGACCACTAACAAACCAAATGAATTTGTTAATCGGTCCAAGCCTAACTCATCTACCAATACAATCGATGTAAGTGAAATATAAGCAGCTAAAATAAATTTTCTGATAAATTAACTCTACAACAGATCAACAATAACATAAATGATCATTTTCGAGCAGTCAATTTACAATATTAAGAACAATGAGAACAAGAATGATTTTTGAAAGTGAAAACAAACAATTTTGCAAATACAGTTAAAAATAAATAAATTTATTTTCAACTAAAAATAAATACATGAATTTATTTTTAACTAGTACGAGTTGCAACAACACAAATAATAGTATCGACAGTCAAAGACGCCAGAGCGATGGAAATAGTGATAAAAACGACAGAACATTTCAGCAACCAACTACATCAGTTATCTAATTGCTGGGAAAATGTCTTGTAGTACCTTCCACATCAAACGCGACTTCCAAGAAGCGAAAAGTAATGGACCACAACGATAATGCTCATGCGACCCCTTGTTGCAGTACTTTTGAAGGAACGGAGACGAAACAAGAAAAGAAGGTGAAGAATAATACGCATGGGGTAAACAGATAGAAAGAAAAAACTATTGCAAAAAGAGTTCGAAATCAAAAAGAAGAATGCTGTTTTGCCTTAGAGTCAGCATATCAGAAGTCTGAAAAAAAAAATTGAGAATTAACGAAGAAAAACTGCATCTGGAATCATAGTAGAAAACAATGGGAAAACAAATGTGGTTGTGAAAAGCTCCATGAAAGATGTAAGAGAGACACTATGCCAGTGTACCGGAACTCGGAACCAGTAAGATGATTGCGCTCAAAGTACTCATTCGAGGAATCGAGGTTCTGCAGAGCAGCTAGCCAGGGAAAATACTGAGGGCGGTTTTTGACCGCTTCGAAAAGATACCAAGAGGGGCTTGGCATTTGTATCGTTCTCTGTAGAGAGAGAAGTTATTGCATGTAATTACTCACGAAGAACTAAAGAAGCAAGCAAATGCTGTGATTACGAGTATTGCGGGCTGCCCGTCCTGACTGAAAGGAATCCTGTAAGAGTCCTTGAGGCGTCTCAAAACAAAAGATATGTACTTCGCGTAAAACATGCTACATGAGTCTATGTATAGGTTTATCTAGACGTAAAGCAGAAGAGGCCCTGGGACATGAGATAAACCAGACAAAGTGGACGGGAAAAATAATCTTGGAGAACGTTGATCCGCTTATACTTGGAGTAGTAAACAATGCGGCGGGTAAATATACCACACAAAATTTCCCCAAATCAAGATCTTGCAAGGCAGCTCCAGGTAGCACAACAGTGTTATGAAGCCATTGGGATAAAAGACAGGCATAGAGAAGATAAGCTTATTGAATTTTCACAAAACCTTCATAAAACGAACTTTGGCCGGTGAAAAACTTATAGGTAGAACCTGAAGGAAGCCAAAAAGTGTATCGAACCTTTAGAAGTTGACAGCAAATACGAGTCATGTAAGTTAAATGTTGCCATGAGAAGACTACTTGCAGACAACCAATTAGGAACTGCTGACCAGGTTCAAGAGTGTCTGCGAAACAGCAAATACTCTTGAACCTCGCAGTATGCAAGGAGCATGAAAGCAAAAAAAAAAAGCGTTTGATTCAGTCAATCACAACTACCCCGATTAAGTATATTGAAAGACTCAATATGTGAACGTGGATAAGCAAGTTTCTAAGCAGCACCATCTCTAGATGATCGTTACATTGAAAAGCAATGGAGAGAAATACAGCGAAGAACGCAACAAAGAAGATAAACGGACTTGCTGCACATGATGATATACATACATATATAAAGATCTCTACGACACTGAAAAAGTTTTTGATTGAATAATTGCAAAAACGTGTTAAAATTAAAACAAAACTAACAAATAATGAATCCGAATAAAATGGAATAGAACATGAGACCTCCAAAACCTGGTAACAGCGGACAAAGACACGTAAGCAAACCACATCCAATTAATGCCAAGTTATTGATTGTTAATGCTGAAACCCAACCTCGGTCAGCCAACCATCCAAACGCTATTCGACCTGCAATAGATATCATGTTAGATATATCAATAAGAATAATAATTTCGATTTATATTCCAAAAAATCTGTACTCCATGTACATTCACAAAACTTGAGTTACTTAATGGAGACCTCAGTAATTCTCATATCTCTGATTTTTACAATAGTTGGCATATCCGAGTAAAATAAACTGAACTGACCTACAGTATTAGTAACACCGATGACGGACAACAATAATGAACCACTTCCTTTCGTATGTCCTTTTGCTACTGCCATATCAATGAGAAACATAAACGGCACGTAAAATCCAAGCATCCCAAATAAATTTGATATACAAAGCAAAAACATTGAAGGTTCTTTTAGCAAAGAAACATCGATCATTTCAGTTAGAGCATTACGAATTGCTATTGGGATCCAGTTGCACTTACTGTAAATTGGAAGGCAGTCATAAAATTTCCAATTTCAAGGGTCCAAATTGTAAGAAATATAATTTTCAGGAAACACGACATCAAACTGACATGAAATAACAAATCCAAAACTAATTTTAATATTACCACCTTACCTATCATCATAAAAATCCAAGACTTCATTAGACTGCTCCAGTTGATTTTTCGAAATCTGGTGACTTTCATCAAATTTATCTCCTATGTCGCTAATTACTTCCAAATGCGACGCGCCGGAAACCACTTTAGCAACTGTTGATGCAGGGATTAATGTTTGAGATTCCCTGTACAACTGATAGTTGCTTCCTATAATCACAAAAAAAAAGAAAAAAAAAGATGGTCAGCCATTTCATGATGGATACGTAAGTCTGCAAAGGAAATAAAAGACATAGTACCTTCAGACTTAAACTCAGATAAATTTCGAATTGAGCCTGAATAAAATATATCGCGTCGGTTCATTGGCTTATTGAACTCTTTTGGATTGAGACTGCTCTGTAAAAACTTTCTGACAATGTAATTTTCAAAACTATCACACTAGTTTGGCAAATTATAGAAAAACTGTGAATAAAAATCATAAAAAAACTTCATAACTAACCGCAACTGACATCAGCGATTGAGCACCCTTAATTCGAGAAGACTGTGACAGACGACTTATTGACTGCGCAAAACTACGAGCTGATATTTTGCTTAATGGATTAATCAAATTTCCATGGCTTGTTTTTAAATCGGTTATCGATGCTGCCTGACTACCTATGCTACAAGCAGAAAGCACATACTCGTTCGATAAAATAAAGCGTTTTAGTTTTATCTTTTACAAGCTTTTGTACTGAAGGACTAAAAAGAACCTTTGAGCTTTCAAAACATATGATTTCAAGGAACTTAAAAAGGCGAATTAAATAAGTATACATTTTTTCCACAGATTATACTAATTCATGTCAAAAATATTTATGCGTCTAAATATGTTTTCTAAAATAATTTTTTTTCCATAACTCTTCGTCTTTTACTCATTAAAAAATGTTTCAGGAGTTGGCTACTAAAAATTTTTATAATCGAAAATAGAGTTCCAAAATAATTAGCCATCAAGAATACAAAGATATGTATTAAAACGATAACACAAAGCAGACACATTATTTTATTCTTTGATGCTATTAAAATTAACTAGAAATCATAAAGCAGTCCTCAAAAATTCTGTGAAATCTTCATCTAACATGATTTTTTATGCTTTCTTTTGCTTGTGACATACCTTGTAATAGTATCATTCCGTTTTCTTGATGGTTTTTCCCCTGAATCACTTTGCACATCTCCATTTCTGCCAGACATATTTTCTGTGACTATAGTCAAGTGAGTGCTTTCATCCATTTCATATGGTTCACATTCGCTTCGCAAATTACGAACCCACATGAATTTCTGCGCTTTATGCTCAACTATTGAACCATCAACAATCACTTCTCGAACTGCAAAAAATCGTCCCGAAGTGTTCATATATCAGTAATAATAAAGAAATTCACATCAAAAGAAAAATCATGCCTTCAACAACACAAACATTATATAAATATTTGCTCGATAAATGCAAATAAGATAGCCGAACCTCTTCGATCGCTATTACTAGCTTCCCATTCTTTCTCCTTCGATTCACTTGATTTTAAAAGCTGCAATAAAATATCTTCTGTAAAATAGAATTTATGTGGCAGCTCTAACAAATAAACGAACCATTTGCTCAACATCAGCTTTGGCATTCTTTTTTCGATCCTTGACTGTTGCTGATAATGGTCTATACAGTAACCCATATATAATACTAGAGAATGTCAAGGCAGCAAGCGAACCGACAGCTACTTTCCATCCAAACTCTGCAATACTATTTCATGCTAGATGATAACACTAACAATGCTGCAACCGTTACTACTCCCTCCTCTTCAGTAATTTATATTTTAAACATACCATTGATAAGAATTATACAAAGTGGCGGAAGTACAAATGTACCAACGCCAGAACCTGCTACCGCCATACCAGTTGCAATTGAGCGTTTCTTTTCAAAATAATAACCAACTGTAACGATTGATGGGAGATAAATAAGTCCAAAACCAGCTCCTGTAATCACTATAATATACTTCGTTCTCTTCATTGTTTTGAAATTAACTGCTCTTTAATTGTATTATATCTTATCACAGCAGGAAATCAACACTGAAACAATGAAGTATTGTAATTCGAAATTACAAAAAGAGTTGTCATATCTAGAAGGCAAACTCTGTGCCTTTGCCTTTCCTCAGTCGTTTGTTGAGTGAATAAAATTTTTCAAAAAACAAATGGAAATACAGTTATTACCACCAAGAAATCCATAAAAAATCATGAAAATATAAATGTTCGAACAAGCAATAGAAGCGAAGAACGAGGAGCCAGCCACAATTGTACCGATTATGACAACCATTCGAGCACCATATTTATTCACGAGTCCACCAGCAACTGGCCCTTTAATCAATAATTATGAAAATAGATTACAAGAATTCTAAACAAAACTAAAAAACAAAACGAACCAATTAATAAATAACAACCAATAAGTAAAGAGCCAATAAGCGAAACTAATGCTTTTGGCGCATCAAAATATTCCTGATAAATGCTCATGAAGGCACCAAACGAATTAGCAATACCATCAACTACAAAATTCGACATAAATGCAGCGAATACAATCACCCATCCATATCCACCATCAGGTGGTGCCGGTAGCACATCATCCAAATCTTCCAATACTGAATCATTTTTATAAGCTTTTGTAAAGACAAAATCACAAAAATTGGTAAACGTTTGTCGCCTTAAAATGTTACAACAAACTCACAAAAAAATTATAAATAAATGAAACTGAATATTTTTAGTCATCCTTATTACAGAATATCAATCTCATGCCTTGAGACAAAGTGCTTCAAAGAACTCACTGAAACAATCGTGAGTAACAGAAGTGCCATAATTACTTCTTTCCTCTTCACTTCCATCGTCAATAATTTCAGTGTTCGAATCTGCTAAAAAGAAGACAAATAATGGGAAAATCACTTCTTGTATTCATTAGAAAAAAAAAAAACCTTATAAAAAATATGGTTTATGACTTACTAACATCGCTGATTTTGTAGGAAAGAGGTCAGCTCATCAGAGGAAATCAAAAGTTATAAAGTTAGCAAATTGATGAATCGAAATGATTTAATTCATATGAATTAATGAATAGAGAAAACAAACCGCGCCCATTTTCTTTTAAATCATCCTCAGCAAGGTCAGACCTTTTAAACGATCGATTGCATGCAAGAGTATCGCCAGCGTTATTCTTGAAAGCATCAAACTCTTACTTATAAGCAATTATGTCATTCAAGATTTGTTTTGCAAGCGTCAAAAAGTTATCAATCACTAAAAGTTTGTAAGCAAACCTCAGTTTCTTTAATCAATGATTGAACGCCAATAGCAGAATTGACATCTTTGTCGTCCATAACTTGAGAGTCAGTAGAGATTGATCTTCTAATACTAAAAACACACATGTAGTCTTTATTCTGTAACATAAAGTAGCGAAAAACGATGGGAAATGACACTGAAATACAAATACATTCAAACTAACTAAACATGACGAGGAAAGTATGGACAGCAAAGTATGACTATAACATGATAAGGACTCACTACTAATTAAATATAATTAAATTCCAATATAGAAACAATAGCCAGTAAAGGAATACCGAAATACTTACTTTTAATCAGCTCATTTGCATAATACACAATTGAATCAATCATTGAGACGGCCTTATCTGTTCATTTACCCGCCTAATACGTAAATGAATAAGCCGCTCAAAACTTCCTTTAATTGAGTATTATGCAAAAGAATTGTTGGAAAGAAAAATTGTGAACTTCTTGATTTAATATACAGAACATATACTGCTTGCACATTATTGAATTTACATTTATTGTTCTATGAAATGAAATGAAAACAGAACAAATATGAAGTAGTGACAACATTCCTTAAAGAAAAATTTTCAAAAATTACACAAAACACTGTAAAAGGTTGAAAAATCATAGATTAATAGACTCTGAATTTTTTCTACAGTTGGCAGCGCGTCAGTATAGATTATAAAACATTGGGAGTGTTTACCAGAAATTTATTTAAAGTCACTACTTTGAGTACTTCATGTAGTCTAAAACAAAATTTATGATACAAAAGACCACTGACAAGAATAAAGGGACACAATATCAATTCGCAAAATTTCAACAGATGTAAAGAACTTCTGCATATGCTTATTTCACAGTAAATGAGCAAGGAATATTAAGAGAAAGATGAGTGCATTTGTATATCAATATTCAACAAAACCTACCAGAACAATTCTAGCGTTTTTTGCTCAGAGAATTTGTAGATTCATACAGATGGAAAATTATGGATGTATAAATTACATATGACCTACAAAAAAAAAGCTGTTATCAATATTCCCAACTAGAAAGGCCCTTAGATTATTTGAAATTAACTATTTATCAAATAATAAATGTCATACAACCTTTTAAAGCAAAAACAAACAGCAAACAACCATTGCCAAATAAACTCAGTCAATGATATAAACATCGAAATTTTGAGGAACACTCTGGACTGTGTTAACTAAAGACTTTTGGCAGATTCAATTAAATTTCAAAAAACAACAGCTATTGTAAGGAACAGTGAAAGTATACAGAGGTAACACTTTTTTTCTCTCAGAGAGTAAATGGATGATGGTATGCTTTGTTTGGATAAGACAATTTTGTTTACAAAATGGAACAGCTAGAAATAGAATGTTTATCAACTGCGGAAAAATCTTCTCAGTAAACGCATGGTAACGTCAAACGATTACTGACCAAATTTGGCGCTACTTTTCGTGCTGCATTTTTGAGTAAACCGGGTAAGCTAATTACTTTATATAACGTAATATCATTTAGAAAAATTGCATAGAAACAAGTAGTTGCCTCGCAGTAAAAACTAAACTGATCAGATTGTCATGCAAACACAATGCTTGGCACTAGTATCCAAGAAAATGAATTAAATCGCTACAAACCAAAGATTAGAAAGTTGCATTCACTTAAAGGCTGCTACTCATCAACTTGATGGATAAAATAAATCACTGATCTCTATACTCCATCACATTTTCCTCTGTTCCCTATAACACATTTCACAATTACCTGGGATTTGGAGTGGAAGAAACGAAAGAAAAAAATACACTCAGGGCACAATATTTCTTGATAGAGAAATTTTATCTATTACTTAACATAATATGCCTCGTTAGAATAAGATCCTTTTGTAAAACTCACTGACTGTCTACTTTTAATGTAATGTTAAGCAAACAAACCAGATGGTCTCTTCCTAACTTCATTTCAAAGAATTAAAATTGTTAATAACGCATGATAATTTGTCATGAGCTCAAATAATCATGTTTTTTAAGATAGAGAATGTTGAGAAACGGAGACATATATATATTTATATGTTCAGTAGTAGTTCGGGGGTTAATCCTCTTCTCGCGTCGTGCTCCGGCACTCTCGCTGCATTCGCTTGTCACTCAGTTCCGCTGGTTTTGTCACACTCATTGAGTCCTTTCCCTTACCATAGCTTTCACAGAATTTTTTCCTACAATCTTATGGTTTCCATCTGTTTTCCTTTATAAATCAAGGCCCGTTTTTTTTCGTTTTACCTTTTATTTCCTGTCTTCTGATACAATTTGGCTCGTCACAAATTTAACCGCTCAGCAACTAGACTAATATATATATATATTATATATAGACTAATATATATATATTAGTCTAGTTGCTGATTGAAGGAGGTTAATTATACGTATATTATACATATAATATATATATAATATATATATTATATATATAT